TTTAAAAATATTGCTTTAGTGTTTTTAAATATGCATCAATCAGTTAAAAAGTGTGTTTAAAATAATTCTCACGTTTAGATATGCACTTCCTCAATTAATGCATTTTGTCAACTAATTAAAACTTCTTAATTGTATTTTTAATTTTTTTGATAAAAATTATTGTATATAATTTTTCATCATCTATGATATTATACAAATATAAAAAACAATTATATTTAATCTATGCGAGGGTGGAAGTCTTATAGATATTCGAGTTAAGGGGGGTCAGTTGAATTAATTAGAAATTATTTAATTATATGAGAAAGGGATTGATTAGTTAATATTTCTACTCCGTGTATGTGACGCATATTAAGTGCTCATTGTAAACACTTTTCTCATTTAGTGAAATCAATTCTAAATTACCAATTCACTTTAATTTTCTAAATTTCTCCTTTTAAGAAACCGTATTCTTTAACATTTTAATCTCATCTGAATCATAAACCAAGGTGACATTCCCGATGATTATTCCAAGTCAAAGTTAAGGTTCAGTCATTAATTTTTTTCATTCATAAATTTTACAAATTATGTGTTTTTTTAATAAGATCAATATAAATAAATTTCAACCATATTAATAATGATACATATAAAAATTTAAATCAAATTAAAAATATTCAAAATTTTTAGTATAAATTACTGGAGTACTTTAGACTCATTTTTTTTCTAATATTATATAAATAAAGTGGGTACAAAATATTTTAAAAAATAGAGTTAAAAGGTTAGAAATATATAAAGATAAAAACATGTATGAATAAAATAAATGAAAAATTAATAAAGAAGAAATAAAATAATATAAAAATAAATCAGAATTAGAAAAAAAATACAACGTGGAAATTTTAGTCAAAAAAGTAATTATTTATATATATAAATTCCTCTTACGTGCATAAAAACATAAGAGCCACGATAAGTTTTCAAACAATTGTAGTGTTTTAATCATGAGAAGCGCGAGCTATTCTATAGACTATATATAAAAATTAAAGCAGAGATTTATTTGATAAAGTTGGCGCACTTTAACTAAAGCTTGTGTTTTCTTTGCAAAGGTCGCTTGCAGAAATAAACATTTAAATTAATTAATCAACACGATCTACAGTGATTATTTATTAATCGTTATAGATTAAAGTTTTAAAGCATGTTTGATTAGTTTTATTTTTTATTTCATTAATAGTTATAAAAGTATCACGTACGTAGTGTTAGTTTTATTTTAAAAATTTTATCCGATTAACAATAAGAATATCAAAATCTTATTTTGGAAGAGACACACGAAGAAGACGGAAGAATCTACTTATATGGTATATATCCATAAGAAACTAAAAAACTTATATGGTATTTTTATAATTATTTAATTTTAATAAAATAATAAGATAATATAATTATAATCAATGATTAAATTAATAAAATAAATTTTATATAGTTCATATTCATGGTTCTTATAATTTTCAAAATGTAAGTGGTTTCATACACTGAACTAAGAGAGATGGATCAAATTATTTAAGAAATAACTTTGATGGGATTTATTTTATTCAATAAATTTTTATACACGTTCAATTATATTAAATTATTTGTTAAATTAAATTTTTTAAAATATGAATTTTGTAAGAAATTATATAAGTTAAAAATTAATTAATGATTTATCAAATAATTTCATTTAAATATTTAATATATATATATAAATAAAAATAAATATTAATTAATTATAAAAATTTATATTTATAAATATTTAATTAATCTAAAATTTAATAAAATTGATCAATATCCGTTATATATGTTAAAAAATTATTCGGCTATTAAGTCGATTCTTTCTCTCTCTATTTACCCCTCTCTCTATACATATATAAAGAAGATTGAGAAATCTGACTATTAATTTAAACATTTTTATTGAATAAATTAATTTTATGTAAAAATAAAATTATTAAATATTTAAATATTTTTTATTTTAATATATAGTATAATTTTAAATAACATACTTATAAATATTTAAATTAAATAAAATTTAATATATTAATTTAATGATTAGATTAATTAATTTTACATGTTATGAAAAATTATTAAATGGACATATTATGTGTCTTTTACTATTAATAAAAAATTTTAAAATTATAATATTTAATATTATTGTATGATTTTTAATGAATTATATATTGTATTTTATAATTTTTATATAAAATAATTATATATATTTAGATATATGTTAAAAATGTAATATATATTTTTAATTATATCTAAGAATAAGTAATAAGTGTATATTTTTCTATAATAAATATTTTTAAAATTTTTTTTTATCTCTTTAAAATAAATGATTGGAAGGGGTTGGTATTTACCTTTTCATCAATAAACACAATAGATATTAATTTGGAATATATATAAGATAACCTTAAAAACATTATGCCTAAAATTTTACACTAATGTTCTTACGATGCCAATTCTACCAACAAGTTATGAAATGTATCATTTTAAAGGAAAATGTTAAAAATATTTATTAAAAAACTAAAATAAAATGGGAAATTTTAAATAATTTATTTACTGAAAAATATTATTAATATATTTTTAATATAATGTGACATGGTAATCTTCTGTTATAATGAAACATTTTTAATAAACTGATTAACAAGATTATATTTCAAACATGATGCTGCCCTTTATATACACTGAATAAAGTGCATAGATACAATTAAAAACCAGTAGGGGAAACAAAATCAGATCAATTAAACAATATCAGGTACACTACAGGTGAAGAAGCAGAAGATGCACGTTTGTAATGTTTTGTAATAATACTAACAAGCAATGATCTGTGAACTGAGATGACTTCCATTAAAAACGTTTGTTGCCACTCCGGTAAAAGAGGTGACTGGCCGACCGCATTATGAGTTTTTGTAGGTATACGCCTAATCAACAGTACCTATTTGTAGGTAATGATTCCAAATTTCTAATGAACAATATATGAAGTACTTCAGCAGAAGTTGAAACTTTATTTGAGAAACTAACACACTCAAGAAAACAATATATAATTAGAGCAGGAAATTTAACACCATTTAAGAAAAGAATAATGTATCTAAAATGCGTAAATTTTGTATAATTGTGATATGGTCCTTGTGTTTTTACACAAAAGAAGTGCTGTTTGGAAATGTTTCATGTGCAATTTATGGATTGATTGATTTAATTAAGGTCAAAATTTAGAAATGGATTGTGGCTAAAGGTAGGACTGTAGGAGCTATTTAGACGTTGAAATCATTTGTGACTTTGAATATAAAAGGATTTAAGTATTCTTTATACTTTTCTTAATAAATTTTCTCTTATGAAGAATTGTTATGACCATCTGTATTATATCTGTAACAATACATACATGCAAGACTAGTCTTATCAAATTCATTGTGTCTAACTCAGTTAAGTGAGTGAAATTACATAAAGTCTAATTTGGCACATGTAATTAGAGTTATAGTTTAAATTTAAAGTTAATTTGCAATCATATTTTTTATGTTTGGATTGCAAAAATTTAAAGTATATATATAGAAATTATAGTTCTAAGTTAAATTTTAATTCTATTTAGATACTTCTAAATAAAAATAGTTACGAGTAGGATTATATTAAGTTTAAGTTTTTAATTGAAAAATATTCTATTGATAATAATAATAACAGTAATAATAATAATCATGGTAGCACTAGATGAGAGAGAGGAGAGAATGTGAACGAGAATAGCAATAAAAATAATAACAATATAACAAAGATAGTACTAACACAGATGGTGATAAATGAGTTAGATGAAAGTAGAACTAATATGATAAAAGAGAGTATAGCTGTGTATTAAGTTCATATAATTTATTATTTGAATAGTAATTTTAATTAAAAATATTCTAATTATAAATTTATGATCTACTTTCTTAATTATTCCAAGCCCAATTCCATCTATCAAATGGACACTTAGATTGTACAACATTTTTGGCTTGGGTTTGATAGGGTGCTTTCTGTAAATTATGCGGCTCACTTTTTACAACAAGACAGTTTTAGGATGGGAAAAAAGAGATATTTTTTTACCCTTTATTTTTTAATGGAATCTTTAGGAATTATATTATTTTCCAACATGATGTGCTGGATTTTGAGAAAAACTCATTGAATTGGTCAAATTATGATTCCAGTCTTGGGGAAGTACAAAATTGGATGCAGTGTATTTCTCTTTTTTGGTTTGATTGTCTAATCCTTAATTTGGAAGGTATTTATCAATGTACTAGGAGTTGAATCAGGTGTAGTATGCTTTTCTAATGTAATGGTTATGATACTCTTCATATTCTTTTTAATAATAAAAAAAAAAACTAAGATGATGATTATTATAATAAATCTTTTTATTTTTTTAAAATTAGTACGATATACTAAATAAAATTTATTTTCACAACAGTGTTTTCACGATAATTATTTTACAAGCACATGTCTCGTGCATGTGCATTTAAGGCCTCGTGTTCAGTGTTCAAATGCACGATATACACTAATTTTTTCTTTTTTATTTCTTTTAGAAGCAATACACGCGAGTTTCTTTTTCTTATTGTATATTTCGTTGACAAAAACATGTTGGTCAACCTTTGCAGCAAGGATTTTTTTCCCCCCTCACGCTTTGCATTTTTATCCTAGATGCAATTTGCCACTTATAAACTAAAGATCTTTGGACCAGCTCCAGCCACAAATGTACGGAACAAAATGCGACCAAAACATTTGACACGAAAACTGAAGTTGGACCAAAAAGAAAAAAATTCAAATATAATGTGAGGGTCAAAAGGTTCAACGGGTCACAAATACAGATAATGATAAAATGCCCTACTCGTTTTAATAGTCAAAACCACGGATTCTACTACTAAATGCCCCTTATATAAATACCAATACAGCACTTTGCTTCCTACAACACAACCAAATCTTATATAGAATCTTAAGAAAGATACACGTATAGAGAGATAGCTAGAAAGCTTAATATACAGAGAGTGATGGAGTTTCTAGGGCTATCTGGGATTCTTGTTGCCTTCTTGGCAATGCTTTGCCTTTTCTTGCTCATGATACTAACGTTTTCTTGGTGGATTTTCCCTATCCAAACACATAAGAAGCTTAGGAAATGTGGGTTGGGAGGGCCAACCCCAAGTTTTCCACTTGGAAACATTAAAGAGATGAAAAGAAAGAATAACATTCAATCTTTAGTTGCATCCTCAAATCTCCCACATGACATACACTCGTACGTTTTCCCCTACTTTTCTAGCTGGCAGAAATCACATGGTAAGTTTTCTATGACCTGTATCCATATTGAACAGTATTATGATATATAACGTATATAATTACTCAAGTGGTCATGAAGAACTATAAATGGAAACTCTTGTTAAAGATGCATTTTGATTTTTGTTATTGTAGGTAAGCTGTTCGTGTACTGGCTGGGCACAGAGCCATTTTTGTACATTGCTGACCCAGAATTCTTGAAGAAAATGTCAGCAGAGGTGATGGCGAAGAGATGGGGAAAACCAAGTGTGTTTAGAAATGATAGAGACCCCATGTTTGGAAGTGGTTTGGTCATGGTTGAGGGCAATGATTGGGTTCGTCACCGCCACATTGTTGCCCCCGCATTCAACCCCATTAATCTCAAGGTTCCTCTCTCTCTCTCTCTCTCTCTCTCTTTTGCTTTTGTACGCATGAATCTAAACCATGAAATTTGGAATGTCTTCGAAGGGGAAAAATATTCACACAATGCATCATGTCGTAATTTGAAGAGTCCACGTGCATGTACTTTTATAAAGTTGTTGTACGTGGACCATTTCCTATAGTTTTACACTTGGTTAATATGTTCTTCATATATGTGTTAGGTACGTAAACAAAAGGATTTTTAATCCCGTTGAACGTTTAAATCCATGAACAAAGCATAAAATATAACCAAGAATGTACATTATCCAATAGGAAACTACTGCGAAATGGCTAGTCCTCACCAAACAAATTCAATTAATATTTTATTGTTTTTCCCTTGACGTTTAAGCTTTTTGATTTCTGCTTTGGCCACAAGCATATATTTTGATTAATTCTTGTATTATCTGTAGAACATGGCAAACATGATGGTTGAATCTACGAATCAAATGATAGACAGATGGGCTACCCAAATAAACTCGGGTGAACCCGAAATTGACGTGGAGAGAGAGATTATAGCGACAGCTGGGGAGATCATAGCCAGAACAAATTTTTGCATGAAAGATAACAATGCAAGAGATGTTTTTGACAAATTACGAGCTTTGCAAATGACTCTCTTTAAGAATAATCGATATGTGGGGGTTCCCTTGGGCAAGTATTTCAACGTGAAGAAAACCCTAGAGGCCAAAAAACTTGGGAAAGAAATCGATGAGCTTTTGTTGTCCATTATAGAAGCTCGAATGAGTTCAGCCACAAAAAATTCTGAACAAGATTTGTTAGGTATATTGTTGCGAGAAAATCATCGGGCTGACGGCCAATTAGGAAAGACATTAACAATGCGAGAAGTGGTTGATGAATGCAAGACCTTTTTCTTTGGTGGCCATGAAACCACAGCACTTGCTATCACATGGACTTTGCTGCTTCTAGCCATGCACGAAGATTGGCAGAATCAGTTGAGAGACGAGATAAGACAAGTTGTGGGAAACAGCGAACTTGATATCACTATGCTTGCTGGACTGAAAAAGGTAAATTGTTGATATATGCTACAGTCTCTTAAGAAATTCACTTTCTAATACTATTAATAATTCATAAAGAAAATATACTAAATAAAAATACATTTAACAACGTAAGAATATAAAAAAAAATCAATACATTCTTAATTTAATATATAAAAATTAACAAAAAAAATGTTATAAAAGGATTTTAAATGATTCATAATATGTAATAGTAGACATTTAAAAAAAAAAAAACATGACCCCTAATTATTTACTTTTTATATTATCAATTATCTTTTTATTATTTTCGGTTTACAATTAAGCGTTAGCCTTTGATACACTGACTTGGCTCATCTTTATAATTGGCACTTGATTACAAGTTTGTGTTTCTCTTTAATTATGTCTGACATGTAGATAAATGCCTTGATCACACGTGCAGATGAAGTGTGTGATGAACGAAGTTCTAAGACTGTACCCACCATCACCAAATGTGCAAAGGCAAGCTAGGGAAGACATTCATGTAGATGATATAACAGTGCCTAATGGAACCAACGTTTGGATCGATGTGGTAGCTATGCACCACGACCCTGAATTATGGGGAAAGGATGCGAATGAGTTTAGACCAGAGAGGTTCATGGATGATGTGAATGGTGGGTGCAACCATAAGATGGGGTATTTGCCTTTTGGGTTTGGAGGGAGAATGTGTGTTGGTAGGAACTTAACCTTTATGGAATACAAAGTTGTGTTAACCCTACTTCTCTCTAGGTTTAGTTTTAAGGTTTCCCCAAGTTACCATCATTCACCATCTATCATGCTCTCTCTAAGGCCCACTCACGGCCTTCCACTCATAGTTCAACCCCTTTAATTTTACAAAGTAGACGTGTGGACTTTTTCTTAGTTCAGCCCCCTTCAAAAAACACCACTCAATTGTAGAAATAATAGTAATCTACAGAATTGTATAAACTCCCAATTTTGGTTCTTGATGATCCAAACTTGTTGGTAATGCCTTTACTTGCATGGATTGTACATGCTGGGAATATATGTATTTATTTGAAAAGTTAGCAATAAGTACAAAATTGAGCGGATTTTCGCGTCTATCGGTCTGCACATCTTATCATCAAGGTAAAATATATGGAAAATTCTTGTCAATTTGAAGGATTAAGGATACACAAGGAATGAATAAAATAGGATAAACATTAATCAAGTTTGTTATATCTCTATTACGTAAATTTTTAATAAAAATTATTATATATAAATTTTTTATGTGTAATATTACACATGTTAGAAAACAATTTTTAGTATTTTACTAATTTTGACCTTGAAATTAAGTTTAAACACTTAAAACTAATATATTTTTATTGAAAATTAACACATTTATTAAATTAAAATTATAAAAGCTTAATCGATATTTTTTAATAAAATTTATTATTACTAGTTGTTTAAATTTAACTCTAAAATATAACTTTAAATTTACAATTTTTTATGGTATTTCTTTCTTCCTTTTTTGCCTATTTTTTTTATTTTTGAAAATGTCTTAAGGGTGCAAAAACGAGTGAGTTAATAAAGTTTAACTTGAATGGTCCATTGGAGGAAAAATTATTTTACAACTTTATACTCATAACTCTGTTATTATAAACCCTTTAACTTCTTTCTTTCTTTCTTTCTTTTTCTGGTGAGTGAGTACATTTAACTTGTTTCTAACATATATTAATTCGGGACTTATTTTCTGACAACATAATCTGAAATAATAAAAAAATTAGTTATTCAACTGTACAGATCATAAATTATTTCGTCAAGGTAAAAGAAATAAAAACCAAACTCAGTTCACATTTTATTGTTTATCTCTATAAATTTTCGGTTTAATCAGAGAAAAATGTTATATATATATAACAAAGCAGGATATGATATTTCTTTTGATATATAAAATAAAATAAAAATAATTATATATGATATTAAATTATTTGATGTTGAAACAATAAAATTGTTAATTAATTATATATAAAATTCTCCAGTTTACACATGAAGACCTTTGCCAATGGTTACAACGATATTGACATTTGAGGATCACCAATAATGCATTTGTTAATAGTGCATGGCACCATTCAGTCCTATCTGTCCTTGCGGCCCCCATATGAAGTCACCTGATCTTCAATGCTATCAATGCCAAATGCCCATTATTTTCTTTCTAAATTTAGAAGTTGAGGCTTTATAAGATTATATGGTTGTACGCCTAAAAATACCAAAAAGACGTGTAATTCTCTGCCTCTTTCATTGTTAATGTTAAAATTAATTAACAACCATCTATTAAAATTTTGAGTATTATTATCTTTAGTTCTTAGAACTACAAGATAAAATTTTATTAAAAAATATTTATTATTTTTTTATAATTTTAATATAATAACTGAGTATTTTTTTTATTTGTAGATGTTTAAACTTAGTTCTAAGAGCTGAAATTAATAAAATACTAAAATTTTATCTATTATAATCATCTATGCTAACTAGAAAGAGCGTGAAGTTTCAGGAGTATACGAAAATAATTATCATGTTTTGCTTATAAAAACTGAGAATTAGTACCACCTTCTGACATCACTATTATCTGAATTAAATTTTGAAAAAAGGGTCCAAATTGACTTTCACTTCCAGCCTGTTTAGACTATAAATTGTTCAAAGTTAGGCTTGGATTTGAGGAATATCTTAAAATATTTGTATTTATATTTTGTAAAAGATCGATATTCAGATAATATATATTTTTAAAATATTTGTATTTGTATTTATAACTTCCTTTGGAGCATTATTGAACAACTTGCACACGACGTAGATTATGCTGGCAAAAATTGACTGAAGAAAAAAAAGACATTCTCTGCTAAGAAAGGCAGCAATTATTGTTCAATGGTCATCCATATCTCATAAATAGGCAGCCTTTTATCGTATCATGCTTCAGTCTTTCCTTCTTCCTTTTTATAACATTTAGTAGCACAAAAGAGATACCTATATACCCCACCGAAAAATGAATATAAAATGAAAAGGAAATCTTAAAATTTTAAAATAAGATTCACGCATGCATAATCTTACACATCAGGCTCAAAACGAGTCTTCAGAATTCCGCGTTGAAAGCTCGTATCATATACTTCTGACACTGGTCAATCTCATATTTCTTAAGTGCTGATTGATCCAATCCACAAAAAATTGGGGGAAAAATCCAAACAGTCAAATGCATTGTATAAGATATACCTCCGTTTGTGGGTGTGGTTTGTCCTTGTCAACGTGTTTTTATATTATATAGCATGAAAAATGAAGAGAAAAGGATAAAGAACAATGAGAATGGCAAGGGAAACACCACCGTATTTTTATTTGCTAACATTGTGTACTTTTTAGTTTATGTCGTTGTAGCTTTATGAAGTGATACTCAAGTATATGAAAACCCAAATGTCACTTTCAATGGCTCAATAAAGTTGACGCGCACTATTATTATTATTATTATTTTCTAGAAATGATAATTATCCAATAAATATGTATAATGTAAATATATATTAAAAAAGGATGAGTAGAGAAAATAATGAAAAAAAGAGACTAGTGCTACCCCATTAATCATTAGCGAGAAAAAGGTTACACATTATAGATCAATGTAAGACCTGTGAACATTGTTGTAGCTTTATTCAAGATCAGGACCAATCTTTGCCTCCAATTTAAGATATACTTTTTTTAAAAAAAATTACAAAATTGCATTTAATATCAAGAGTAAAAGTAGGGCAGATCATTCATCAAAGATCTATGGCTGAACTTATATCAAGCCTGGATTAAGTTAGGCTTATTAAGTTATAAGTTTTAAGCTCTTTTTAAAGTTTTTAATTATATAAAAAAACTAAAGTTTCAGGTCATTATAAAAGACTTTTACAATTAATATACTAACCTATTTAAATAAGCATAAATAATGATATAATATATTTTGAACCAAAAAAATAACATTATTTTAAATTCTATTTATAAGAAATAACTACACTAATTTGAATAGGACAAGGTAAGAGTTGTATGGCTAGCACTATTGGTGCAATTCACGTGTTTATTTATTTTTGGTCTTCAATACACGTGGTTCGAGTTCACTGCTCATAATCACGTAAAAAGAGAGAGAACCAATTGTTCCCAAGAAGGCCTTACAGATGCTTGAGTCCAGATTCAAAATGGGTCATAATAATAAAACATGGATCAATCCCCAAAATTAAAGCAAACAATATTGAGAAATCCAACATCTAATGTTCCTAGCTATAAGAAATTTAATTCCCTTTAAAGTAAGGTCTTAGAATTTAAATTTTGTATAAAAACAAAAAAGAAATGTCAAGAACTTTATTCTAATATGTTCTCTTGGTTCGACTTTAAATTAATTTGAACTCAATGTTACTATTGAAAATCTCTTAAACCCAAAAAATACATTTTCAATGGCCATGTCAAAACGTCTAAAATGGTGTAAGCACTTGGATGATGAGGGGATAAAGGTAGCTTGTTGAAGTAAAAAAGGTTCAATTTATTGTTGCATGAATTGTTGTCATAAATCCTCTACAGTGACATTTTCAATGCAGAGAGCCATCATGAATATTTAATTTATTAATAAAAATAGTATAAAGTGATGTTTAAAAATCATCACTCTCATGGTAAATTTCCCTTGAGAGGATCCTTGCATTGCTGTCGAATAGCTTCATAATGGGGAGCCCTAGAAAAGGGGCAAGTTCGGGGGAAAACGCACAAGCATCCATTGTCTCTCATATGTTGCCAAATGAGTCCATCCAATTTCCTCAAGCAAAGAGAGCTTTAGTTCATATAGTTTCTTCTTGGCAGGCTCGGAATCATCTTGAATGATCTCAGTCAGTACCTTAATCCAGGGGAGCACACAAGATTAATATAAAAATTTACTCGAAAGATGTGGAAATCAAATAAAATCCTTCAAAATGCATTTTCGTTATGAAGGATCAATCTGTTTTTAATTATGAAATACATTTTCATTTAAATTGGATATTAACAATTTCTTATGGAATGACCATATTTTGTAACCATTCACTCTGTAGGTCTCATGAGTGAATTTTTTGGGTTCTCAAGTGTTAGTAGCAAAATGTGCCCTTTCTTTTCCCATTGAACGCTTGAGTGGTTGATGTTCCCGAATGATTCAATTCATACACGTGCTGTCAAGTGCACGCCCAAGCAGTGGGGCTCCCCTGCACTGTTAATTTTGATTTTGACTTATAAATGGGAAAGGGAAGGATAAATGGAGGAGGAGGAAAGGAGAAGAGAACTATATCTACAGAGTGAAAGAAGGACAACGATGGGATTTATGTTTGGCTTTTCTGGTATTTCTCTGCCATGTCTGGCTAATTTCTCTTATGGTTCTGATGTAGTTGATCTTTTACGCTTTTTTTCTAAGTTTCTTTTTCCTTAGTTTGTATGTTTGTCTCGTTGCTTAATTGATTTATGTTCTTGATTGTTGTGATAAACTCATAGTCTTGGCTAAATCTAGGAACAGAGGTAGCTAGTTCTATGGTTGCTTAAGGAATTCCTTGGCCTGTTTAGGGCCTTTTTTCTTTGGAATTAGACTAAAGGTATTGGTTAATTCTAAGGAGCTAAACAGGGATAATGACCAAAGAACTAGATATTAGTTAATTTTGTGAATTTTACCTATCAAACTTGGAAATAGGATTTAGGTCGAGTTGAAAGTCAATTATCCATAAGGAGAATGAAGTCATATCAAGACGTCAACACTTCATCTACTGAATTTTAAGAAACGCTTCTGATCCTTTGTTTTTTCGTACGGTTTTATTTTACTTCTCTTTCAATCTCATTTACTCGTTAATTGTTGTTTGGAGCTCCATTTAATCCTAATTCTGTAGTCTAAATAGTATTAACTATAGCGAATTGGTACTCTTACTTTCTATTACTTTTGTGATTTAGTACACTGCCAGTTGAGCAACACACAACATGGTTGTTACAATCCGCTTATGTTTTTTTTGGGTAGGGTCAGGGGCATTGGAATCTTGAAAGAAAGAGTTGGGAATACTAAAGTACGTCACAGTATGTGTTTGGAGTTTGAGACAACTTGAGTTACTCAGCATGAGCATTTTTGGGGTTAGGTGGGGTGAATAGTGGCTAGAGAATACTACATGTGAAGGAGGAGAAAGGAAACTAATGATTCTGTTAGATTAGAAATTAAAAGATGGAATAGTGAGAGGGGGAGTTGCTTAAGTTAATTTTTTACATAAGCAACTTGCTTATGTCAATTTACTATTAGAGATTGACGAGTTGTCATTTTAAATAAGTAACCGTTCCTTATTTAAACAACTGTTGCTTAAGCTAAGAATTAAGAAAAAGTGAGACTTTTAGTATCAGTTTTTAAAATAAAAAATTTCAGAATTGATAAAAGTTGAGTTAGAGCAAAAAGTTGCTTAAATAAAAAGAAGTGATACGTTGTTATTGGACCTACTTAAAAATTAATAAAATATAATTTAATTAATTTTTTAGTGTTTCACGAATGGAGATGCTCTAATACAAGACTAAGCAAAAATGGAAAAATACCTTCAATGCTGTCCCAAGCCTTTGACTACGCCTCTCATTTGTCACCAAGAGGGTTCCATATTTTGTGCACTTAACATCAACCCATTTCTTTAGTTCATTGAAGTTCTCTTCGAACAAGTCTGGATAAATGCCATCAGATTGATCATCATTTTTCTCCATATCTTGTGTTGCACCTTTTGTTTCAGCAGAAGCCAAGGACTTATCTACCTCCTTTGACAGTATACAAGTAAGCCAATAAAAAATAATTAAATGCTATTACTATTATAATGAAAATCCGAGTTATTCTAACGCAGCAACACCATTAACCAAATAACACTTACAAATGCTATGGAACAAAAACAGGCAAAATAATGAAAATTGTAGTTTTACACGATCTAACATAAGTTTATGGTTTGAGCTAGAGAGAGAGAAAAAAATATATGCTCTCTACATACAAGGATATTTCCAAATTTTGGGGTTTGCTAATAACTATATTTTATATGATTAAAAATTGACTTTATTAGGATGGAGAACTAATTCAATTCTAAAAGCTAACTCAAGAGGAGAGGATTACTAGGTCTTTGACCATATATCTAGCCGGTATGGGATCCTAACACTCCCTTTTTGCCTAGAATTAGACATTAAGAGCACTAAGTTTGTGGGGTTTAATGCCATGTTAAAGTTGGGAAAGGACTAGGCTTAACTCAACTTCAAAAGCTAGTTCAAATGCGGAGGATTGGTTAAGTCATTATAAGGATTGTTTTGGCTATATAACTAGCAGATGAGGGATTTTGAACAGATTTAAACAGGTAATAGTTAAAAACAAGTTTTCAAATGGCAAATGGAGCAGGTCGAACGCATTTTTAATGGATAGATCAAGTTCCTTGTAAATTTGTCATCATGTTCTCCAATCAAATAATGACATGGCAATGTTCTTTCTAAATTAGATAACCTGCATTTAATGTGTAGCAGATTTTTAAATGAACATTTACGTGTAATTATTTAACTGGAAAACTCAATGATAAGGATATCAGGAACTTGATCGAAGTCTTGCCCTTTTTAATATCATTTGCATGGTATTTCCCTCTGTTTTGAATGTATGGATATAATTGTTGATAATGTACAGTCATTGATTTTAAAATCATAAAAGCTCTAACCTTTAAAAACTCAATTTCTGCCAGTGCAAGCCCCTTTTGGTATAGTGCCTCTGCCAACTGATCACGGGTTGATTCCATCTTTTTCTTGTTTTTCTACAGTGAGATTAAAATATCATTAATTGTCAAACAAATTGCAAACTGAAAATTCATCGTGTAACTGGTAATACAAAAATTCAATTTGCAGACGTTTGTTTAATTGTTTACACTATCATGTCATCATTTTAAGACTAACCATTACAAAACTGACTGCTATAATTATATAAATTCAAGTAACAAAATCACAGTTAATCATGTAAGATTGCAAAATCTTCTGGATGAATTACACTCGCATGTCATGCCAATTTCATTTTATTATCTTAAATTTTGTATAAATAGAGAACTAATTCTGGAGTGGGTGACAGGAATATCTAAAAGCATGGGGAACATGGATAAGCACCTCAGCTTCCTCATCTTCTGGATCATTTTTTAGTGCAAAAAATTTTGCTAACTCTTCTCTATCAATACTGTCAATCACCTCATTTGCAGCATCAATTACCTGCAAAGTAAATTCATAATTGCCATAGAATCAACCTTTTTATATCATTGGTTTGAAAGTTCTCAGTTCTCACTAGCTCAGACTCACAAAATTGACAGAATTTAAAAATTATTTGGTGTTTTATTTTCTAACGTGATAATATCAAAATTCAACAGTAAGTAAGATGGTAACATTTTTCATTTTATTTTGATGTATATGCTTTCAAAAAATAAATGTCAACAATTAAACTAGATATTGTTAGGAAATACGAAGTTAGTTAAGATAGTTAGGATATTAGTTAGTTAGGGGGTTAGTAGTCAAATAAATAGGAGGATGTAAGGGTCAGTCTTGCATCATTTGAGATTTGTGCTTTTGCTCTCTGTGAAAGAGAAATCCTTTGTGAAGGGAAACTCTTGGAGGAGAGTTCTCTCTCCTTTGTTCTATTGGTTTGCAATTGATCAAGAAATAGAACTTTTTTTTTTCCTCTAGTTTCTAATTTGGGTTTCCTAATAAATACTAAGGAATGTCGATTGGTAAATTTTGAATTTTCCAAAAAAAGGAAAAAAGAGAGGACATTTAACGGTGTAAGAGTCACCAAATCCAACCAGATACACCAGTAGATGACTCTAATAGGAAAAACTTTTCATGAAATCCAAAGTTGGATTGAAAGTTCACATCACGTGGATAACGCTCCTAAATTTTAATATTCATCAGATATTAGTTTATACTTTTCTAATATTCCAAGAAATTACACATAATATATAATAAATTGCATGATTTCAAAAGTTATAATGATAAAATATGGGGGTTAAGAGGGGAAAGGGGGAAATAATATTAAACATTTAACTTCAACAATGCGTACCTCTTCAGCATGATGGAATTTATCTTTGATATTGCTCCTAGAAACTAAACATTCCAAAATCTTTGCAAGCAACGGAGTGTGTTTTGGATATTCAGACTGCAAACAAACATAAATTTTTCAATTTTTTATTTTTAATCTATGATGTAGAGAATAAGCAGGTGAACCCAGTTTTGAATAACAGTAAACCAAAAACAATGTATAAAATAATCTAGCAACAGAAAGCCAAAATCAATAGAATTTTAAGAGTAAGGAAACAAATGAATGTAGTCAACCACCAAAATTATATGTTCAAATAAAGTTATCTACTGACTTTAAGCGAGGCAGACAACTTCTTCCATTCCAAGCACTCTTCATCGTTTTCTTGTTTTAGGCTTCCAAGCACTTTTATTTTTGCATCTCGTACCTGATTGATAAGTCAATGCCATAAAAGAACCATTAGGACAGGAGATATACAATCTTCTATTTTCAACTCTAAAAGAATAACTCATTTCAAATCTTTAAAATAATTAGAAATTTGAATTAGATTACGATACACATGCTTAAGCTCCTCTCTTTTTTTTGGTAAAAATATGCTTAGGCAAAAATAAATGCAAAAGTGCATATCAGTCATGCCAAAAGCAAAACTCATAAGTGAAATACATGATTGGATAAAAAACAAGGATGCTCTTCAGCTAAATATGACTTGCATACCTCTTGTTCTAAGCGTTCAGAAACTGTCTTCTTGGAAGATAAGGAAGAATTTTTCCCCTTGTCCTCATCAATCTTTCAACAAAAGGTAATAGGAAAATATAATTAGACATTAACTTATAGATATACTTTATAACAGTTGATACATCAACAACTTGGTGCTTGTTCAAACCAGCACATATTGGAGTGTACAACTATAGAACACACAAAAAGACCTTAAGGCAAGTAAAGCATAAAGTCAAGATAACCTTGTGTGGGGGAACTATATAAGAAATTCGATAAGATACAGGATGTTTTTCTGGATTTTTATGCTCCCCTTGACCAGCAAAAGATAGTTTCCCATATGATATTGATCCCACCAATACAGATCCTTGTAGAGAGTTCTGTGGAAATACTACAAATGTTATCACATTTTACCAATAGTCCAATGGAATACCCAAATATCAAGCAAGGAGAACTAAATACCTTAGGAATCTTGTCTTTCGGTGGTGGACCAAGATAAAATCCTTCTTTTATACTATCAATAAGAAAACGTCAACACCACAGCACAAGATGACATTTAAACCTCAAGGATCTAGGCAGAACTATATAACCCAGTTACATACCCTGGAACTAATGTTGAGGACTTGAAGGAACCATTTCCCATCAGTGGACCATCTGGTTCAGAGAAAAAGCATAACCGAATGATCTCCTGGAGATAAAAAGCATATAAATGACAATTGAATAAATATATAGAAGGAATGAAATATGTGAGCTGAATTTTGATTATGTATTTAAAATTTTATATCCTTTACAAGTTTTCCAAGGAGTTATTTGTGAGATACTCATCACAATTTTAAGTGCATGCTTGGACTAGCTTACTATGGAAACAGAATCAGTATATTTTTTTGTCAACATACGAGAACTTTTGGGGGAAAATAGTCAGTATTTCCCAGAATTTAGCTATTATCATAGCATCAGTACCAATATTATACAAAATGATTGGGCAAAATTTACAGTTATCCTTATCATCTTTAATATTTTAAAATTCAGTTTTCCCTTCTATGATTTTTGGAATTACCAAGGGTACACTTTATGAGTGAAATTCTATCAATTTTGTTATCACAGAAATTCTATCACTTCTAATATGTGCCAGAGATCAGAGAACACTTTTATTTCTGTCTTCTGAATTTTTTAATGATTCATGGGCTAATTTATCAATATTGGTCTAGAATAGGAGCCAATCTGCTACACATTTGGAGAAAAAAATAAGGAACAGAATAAAGACAAACCAATCATAATAACCAGTCCATCTCCTGAATCAGATTTTATTATAATATCCTAAAACATGCTTAAATAATTTACTAATATCTCATGACAACATATTTAAATTTTCAAGTACAAATAGTATACTTTCATAATTTCATTTCATATAAAGCAAAATTCAGAAATTCCATTTGTGAAAAATATTTGCCAGCCAAATATGTCAAAGAGTTGAACGATACCAAACCATTGAGCATCAAGCAGCCCAACAGAAAAAGAAATAGGATTCAGTTGATGAAGTCCATTTAAAAACCTTACAATCATGTGATGACAAATGAGACTGAAGTCAAAGCAAAAGATACAAGGGATTACATAAAGTCGTCTTTTAGAATATGATATACTACCTTCTCTTCTAAATTTCGCTCAATGAATAACACCAGCTGCTTCATCTTTTCCAGAATTGGCAAGTTGTCATGCCTGAAACACCAAATTATCATGACTATAGGACCATGTTTGATGGACCTTTAAGTATCAATCTTTTCAAAACCTAGAAATAATCCACTCGCAATAAAAACTCCAGCTTTCTTATGCAGGTAATAATAACTAAACCAAGCTTTCAAGTCCATAAAAGAAGAATAACTATCAACAGCTAAAGAGCAAGCACCACAAGGAACAAACAAGCATAAGTGCTGGTCCAGTATATATGCTAAGAAAGAGTGGTACCTCAAATGTAGCTGTAAATTGTATTCTCCCTTGGGAAGTTTTGTAAACTTTGGATAGACATCTCCACTTGAATATACTTGCTATGATCAGAATGTATAAATATGAAAACCAATTACACGATGCTTACAATTCGCATGCCTCAGAAATGACAAACTATTCCCCCAAACTTTCATCTTTAAAAGCAAAATGGAAATTAAATATCAAGATACCTTATTTGAATCAGAAATCATATAAAATTGAGACTCAAATTTAGTATCATACATCCGATCATTTAGAAATGGTATTTGAGGTTTTATTTCAGCTCCATCTTCTAATTTGACCTTGTATCTGTAATCAGAATGCTGAGAACAGGCCATCTAAAAATATAAATGAAGCAGATAATGGAATTTATAACTACTCACGTTAATGTCAGCAATAGTATCTGCTTTCCAGAGGGGAGTTTATCGCGATCACTTGAAAGTGCACTAATCTTAGCATCTATTGGTCGATATGGGATCCTTATCTACAAGTTTAACATAAATTAGGAGAATAAATTAAACCACATTACCGTCCCAGATCACAAGCATAAAGGAATAGCACAAAAGAAGTAAAATTTTACAAAATAACCTTATTTAGAATTGCTACAGGTGCAAGTTTTTCAGATGCCAGTAATGCTTCAGCATCAATTCTGACTGGTGCTTCACTCCCATCAAGTACAATTTCCTCTTGATTGACTGTTATACCATGAAATACAACCTGTAATTTTAGATAAATTTGTAAGAATGTAACTTCAATGAAAAGAGATAGACCATATAAGATTCTCACTTAATTCTTTAAGCAGAAGTTGCTTATGAGAAAAAATCAAGCACGAAAGAAAATATAACAGCCTTTCTATTCAGAGGGTCCAATCATATGCTAGGGTTAGTTACAAAAAGTTCTGGGCAATGAAGTTGTGTCCATAAAATATGACAGTATACTAAAAAAAAAAAAAGGCATCTGCTTCCACATCTAAACACTGATACACACAGAATTTCTTCAAATATGAATTACAAAGAAACTTTCATTTGTATGCAAAGACATGCTTTAGTTTTCCACTAATTAATGTAAATCAAGTTGATCTGCATAGACTGACAAAAAAGGGGGAGAGGCAGCGGGGCAAACCCCAAGCATCATTAGGTTCATTTTTAATTAATTTAGGTATTTAATATATGTCTTTGTCCCTATTATTGTCTTCAATTATTAATCTTGATTGGAACATAACAGACTAACTTTCATTTAGTTACAATTAATTTTCAGTTGATGATGCCAATCAAACCCTGGACAGTTTGGAGAGGAATGTTTATTTCTTTAAGGGGAAACCCTTGTCCCTAGGCTTGCTTTGGGACATAGTTGTTTTTTTGACATCTTTTCTGAGTAGCTCAGCATACGGTATCCCTCAAGAATCTTCTTGTTATATGCCAATGGATTGGAAAGCTCTTTTTAAGAATGTTTTTTGAAGCTTTATCGTTTGCATCTTCTCTTGTTTATGGTGGAAACCTTCATTTTTTTGCGCTCTTTTCCTACTAGCCGAAATCTTCTTTTATCCAAAAACCAAAAAAGGCTAAAATCCCCTCCACATTTAGTGCCAGAAACAGCAATAAGCTCTTGGCAATCATTATCAAATAAACAAGACAGTTTATTAAAGGAATTGAGATACATCTTCAAAGATCACCTACTGAATGAATGAGGAACAATCATTATGTAGCTTGGCCAAGTCAAAAAAATAGGAGACTCAATTTAGTTTTAGTAAAAAAAGAGAAAAAAAAGGACCAAATATCTACAAGGGGAAATAAGTTCATCGTACAAACATGAATCCTGTTACCTCAAGATCCACGCTGGTGGTCTCAATACTCCCAATGCCACTAGACCAAAATTGAGCTATGACTAGTTCCAATGTCTGACCACCTACTACTCTAAAGGTGAAGCTTTTGGCAGCAGGCGAAGAAAAAGTTATCACATTCCTGCATTTAAAAGGTCTTTGCAGTGGGCATATCTGGACATAGTGAACATGTCAAAAAAATGTTCATACTTAACAACAACAGTTTCAAGCAGCATATTATACCTGAATTGTGTCCACAAAAAATCTTCGAGCTGTATCAAAACTTGATGCATTCATGGTTGCTTCAACCCAAGATGCACCACGTGGTACTTCTATATATTTTCTCTCTATATGGCCTAGTGAAGCAAAAAAAAAAAAAACATAATAAGCATTGGTTTTAGGACTAAATAATATAAACAAGACCATAATTGCAAAAGCAATGTGACAAATGATTTAAACATGGTAGAAACATTTTCAGTCTAAGGTAAAAGAGAAGCCCCCGGGCAAATAGCTCAAACATCATGGTTGGAATGCTTTATGTATGGATCCCAAATTCCAACCTTAAGAATGCCAATAGAAGAAAGAAGCATGGAGAATGACTCGATTGACTAAAGCACACCTGGATGAAATAACATTTTTGAAAATGAAGCTTGAGGTGGTCTGTTTGTTACAGCCACGGACTTGATTATAGTAATTGGAATTCTGAAAACAGGACCACGCCATGGTGCTTTGCAATCAGTTCCACAGACCTCATAATAATGCAGACCATCACATAAATTGGTAGGATCCACAAATATGCTGAAAGTAAAAGACAACTTATAAATCATTAATAAAACAAACAGCAAATTAGAGATTATAGTAAGACAATTTCAAGGACAACAAGAGGTTCGGATGATGAATATATTCCCCTAAAAATACCATGGGAGCCTTTTTTTTTCACAAAACAGCTATGCCTAGCATCTATCACTGTAAATGGAAAGTTCATGTTACATACTGGTAATTATGATAGCATAAAATAAACAATGCTTCATAAATATTCCCCACAAAGGAACAAGTTCATGAGCAATGCTTTTATTGCCAATAAATGGCCACACATGACATATCCCTAACCCTAACTTAATATTAAGAATATTATCTGTATTTATAACTATGCTCATTAAAAAGGTGATAGCAATAGAAGAATTCATTTTAATTAATTAATTAATTATATATATATATATATATATATATAAAATAAAACTATTGTAATTCCAAACCCTATCCTAAGATACATAACTATACATATATGAATATTATCATTAAGTTATATCAATATCCACCTATTCTCAAGTTTGCTTATCTTAATTTACTTAGGTTACTTTGATACAGTGATCAGACTTTAATTGGTCCATCTAGAGTAGCTTCCCACACTCCAAAATTTCTAATCAATCATGGGATTTTGACTTTAGAGGTCTAAGCATGATTCCTAAAAGTAATTAATGGAGCTAAACTATAAATATGTTAATATACTTTTATTCCTATATCAGAAATTTTCAATAAATATATTATTTTCATTAGACTCAAATGATTTGAGGGTGTCACAAAATACACTAGAATGAAAGGATAAAGGACAACTGACTAACTTGAAGGTGCGGCCATTATGAGTGAGCAATAGATACTCTGGGGCTTTCACAACTGTCTTATCTGAAGAGTGTAACGCAATACACTCCTCAAACACAGCCAATTCTTCAAGCTTGCTGGCATCTTCATGAAATTTTGGATCAACTTGCACTGTCCACTGTCAATAAGTACTACAAATTATAAAGAAAATTACCAATTGAGAGAACAAAGGAATTGCACTATAAATTACTGTAATGTTAATTGAGACAATGATTCATATATACATATATTTGATAAAATATATGTAAGTAGAAATTGAATGCAATTTCTAGTACTTGTTACCAGCATAAGAGAAATCAAGAGGATACCAGTTTCATTTCATTATATAAATAAATACCAAACAAAATTTCAGCAAACACTACTTTTGTCCCTTTATTGTACCCTAGAAAGCAAGGTAAATTAATTCTGCTTGTCAAATCAGCAAATTCATATCATTTTGTCCAAGCATGAAAATTAGATATAAATATCAGTCATCAGTTATTTGTTTTCTTTCCCACAATCCTGTCTTTAACCCATTTTATAAAGACTCAAGATATGCTCTAATCATCAATGCACAATTAATTCAAGAATGATCTCACCTCAGTAGGCTGTTGGCAAGCGTTAGCCTCCCTCAAGTAGATACCTCGTGAAGAAGGATCTGCCATCGGCAATCGTACAAAGGAACATATAAATTAGACATTTAAAATGAAAGGGTTGAAAGGAGACATTGACTGCAGTTCTATACTTTAACACATGCTCTTACTTAAGCATGACAAAAAAATTATAAGGAATGTCAGCAACCCATTTTTCCCCAAATAATTTATCTAATATCTAAACATAATATGCTTCACCATTTTGTACATGCATGAGTAATCGAATAAGGGAAAGCCAAAAGATGCCAGTTGGATGCTTCTTGTTTCTCAAAAAGGGAAGGAAAACTGTCCAGGAAAATGTAAACTCACTTGCTTTTCCAGATTGCCTGATGCATATTTGATACCAAACATTTGGAACATTTTGAGACTGTTGTATATAGTCATAACTCCTGTCATTGAGTATTTGATTCTAGTCAATAACAAATCTTATATAGTTACCATTTACTAAAAGTTCCATGAAAACAAAGACGGGTAAAAACATCGAACTTGTCAACTTGCATAAGCCCTTGCCCAGAGGATAATTTATCCTCAGGTGAATCACCTATGGGTATACATGTATTCTCAAGGGCCTTCCTCACACTATATGGACTCACAGTAATTCCCTCAGCCTGCGTATTAAATCAGAAAATTATAGGCATGTATACACAGTAAAACCAACTAAATCATACAGTCTAAATAAGAATCACATCCTAGAACCTTCATTGCACTTATGAGCAATGCAATTCCCCCACAAGCTGAGGGAGATGCCATTGATGTCCCATTCATGAGCATTCTCCGTTGAAGAGTCCATGTGGGAACAGGAGCAACAGCACCACCAGGAGCACTTACACAGACACCAAGATCTCCATCAGCTGTTGGTCCTCGGCTAGACCTATAAATCATTTCTATAAATCATGCAATGATAATGATGCAAAAAAGATAAAAAGGTATAGAAAGCCATTTAGTTAAAGTTTCCACATGGAACAAAATATACCAAGTGTATTCAAGCCCCTCAGAAGGAGGTTCAACAACACAATGAGCGCCAGCTGCCATGGCAGGAGAAACATAAGCGCCAACTCCTATAATATTTGAAGATGTACCACCAGGTGCACCAACAGTGCTCAATGCTGGCCCATTATTACCAGCACTGCTCACAAATATCAAATGATGCTTGCTTACTGCCTAAATATAAATAACCCAGGACATCAATAGCTTAGAGATTTGGGAACAACAAAGGAAAGATATAAGTCCAGTTAAAATGGAAGTCTTAGAAGATACTTCATTCACAAGGTCCACAAACCGTCCATAGTCTGGCAGCGATGTTGGCTCACCATAACTCATGTTGATAAGATCGCATTTATGCTGAAAAAGAAATGAGACAAGGTCATCATTACAATGTGATGTTCATATCAAACATCAGAACATCCTAAAGAAAAATTAGTTATGTCAAACACAAATATTAAAGACAAATCTATTTCAATTGTTGAAATATGCAGGATAGTCATGCAATGATGAAAAAAATATTTGAACTACCTCCACAGCAGCTATCAGTGCCCTAGTCAAACCAGCTCCTGTTTCCATTGAACCTAAGCGAGAGTCCCCAATTTTACAAGATATTACTTGTGCTCCAGGTGCAACTCCATTCAACAAGGGTTCCTACAACAATACTATTATAATGTACAATGCTTTTCATAGGAATTGCACTAAATTGATAAATCATAAAATTATATCTGTACCTCTGGGTGGAATGCAGTTGCTATAGCAGCAACATGGGTGCCATGAGGGGAGCTATCTGTTACCATACTTAAGACATTCCCATCATTATAAACATTCACAACATATGTACAAGCATCTAATTTGCTGAAGACACCATACTTCCCCTCAGTCCTGAAAAATGGGCTGTAATAGTTATTGTTCAATCATTTTAAATTTTAATACCCTACACTGATTTAGAGCTAAAAAGATAATTGCTCCCATGACTAAATGCCAATAGACCACTCAATACAATAAAGATGGGGAACCACTGCAATCCTCCTGCTTAATTGTCACATGAATAATTTTCGGAAAATATTTTTCTTTTTTCTTATTTTTCTCAGCATTGTTTGTGACAGAGATGAGAATATTGAGGTGCCCAGAAACAGCACCTATTGAAAAGAAGATGATGAAAACTTGACTGAGGTGGTTTGGTCATGACAAAAAATCCAATAGAGGCATAAGAGAAGTGGATCAAATAGAAAATAGTCTGATTAAATGGGGTAGAGCAAGATCTCATAAAACATTAAGAGAAGATATGAAAAAGACATTGCCAGAAATGGTTACCGAAACAATAAAAAGATTATATTTGATGGAGCCAATGACACATTGATCAAGTTGCTGTCTAGCTTTGTTGTTAAATTTTTATTTGGTGATACTGATACATAAATCAGCAAGAAACCTTAAAAACCATACACAGACAGAGACGGGCTGTTTCAAAAATATCATAAAAAACAGCTCAAAATAATATTTAATACGTACATCACAGAAATTTTTAATTGATTCACAAGAAATAAATTATTGAAAAATAACAAAAGAACTCCATGCATCCCGTGCAAGTCCTACTCGTCATTTATTCAGCTTGAGAAACTATATGTTGTTCATTTTCCTTTAGAAACTATAAATTAATGGTAGACACAAGTCACACAACAATCATTTGTCATTTTCCTTTTAAATATGTTGTTCATCATTTGCACCATATACACCCTTTGCAATCATGCTAAGTGTTTGTTTTTTAAATACAAGAAAATAAAATTCATAAATAATTCAAGAGGAAAAGCTTTTTTATTCAATCCAAAGAGAAAAAAAACAAAGTGAACTTTGATTAATTTGTATTGTGTAACTGTAAAGGGCAAGGAGATTTAACAACAAAACTGCTGAGTGATCCATGTATGGATTTTGACATTTTTAAATTTAGTTGAATAGGACATGGGGATTCAAAAGGAATAAGTTCATTATTCCAAAAATGAGTATCTGTCAATTTTACAACACTTTGCTGCTTGGAAGAAATTAAATTAGATTTAAAATTAGAAGAAATAACATCAGCAACCAAATCCAAATGTACCTATAATTAGTTAAGGGCACAAAGTTAGCAAGCTTCCCACAATCTGGATCATCCTCGAGACTCTGTGTGTCAAGAGCAACCCTCCAGACCTCTCCATCATACCAGACAACAGCATCTATGGCAGGCCCTTTATCATCGTAACTCTAAAACATAAAACAGCATTGCCTTTTTAGTAAGATAACTAAATTGACTAAATACTGAGAAGATCAGGAGGTAAGTAAGCAGGCAAAACACAAGTAAAAAAGTTTTGGTGAGAGAGATAGAGAGAAGCAGCAGGAATTTTGTGTTTTTGCAGAGACTAAAATGCTTCCAACATTATTTATTTCACATAGTAACAAAACTTTATCAAAATATTGTCTTTGCTACCATTAATGAGCATCACCAACAGCAGCAGAGCTACTTTCCTCCTTGGCGAGGGTAACCATGGACCATCATAAATTTATGGATCTTGTAAATGATATAATATTGGTCCATGATTCATCAGAGGGATAAACTTGAAAGAACCATAGACCACCATACAAACATTATATCACAGCCAGCAGCATTAGCACTATCACAGCCATGAAACTTTCCATCCTTGCTTTATTTGATGTAGTACCAACTAACTGAACAACATCGTTGCGACCAGTGTTTCCAAACCCAATACATGACAGTATGACATAGACTCCAAATCACAATCCCTTGGATATTGTTCAATCACTGGTTGAGACGCAATGATCATATAAGTGGAAAAAAGAGGCACAGCAAGAGCACAACATAATCTCCTAATCAGCCTAAAAACACCAAAATAAAGAAACAGAAAAGAGAACACTAGTTATGTTACAGTAATACATCATTAACCACCAAAACGTTAACATTTACCCACAATATTATATTTCAAACATCAAAAATATATTGAGCAATAAAGAAATTCTGAATGACATATAAAACCAAATGGATATTGGAATAACTTATATGTTTCATGGAGTGGAAAAGGAAGCACTACATAGAACAACAAAACTCATAACAAGTTCAGCACCCACCTCAGATTGCTTCCTCAGAAGATCAAGCCTATTATGGAGATCTTCACGAACCTTTTTAAGTTTAGCACCCTCCACCTTGATGTGTTTCTAGAAAATGCATCACAGTTTGAGTTACATGGAAGAGAAGATATAATGGAATACAAAAAGCACATTATATCCAGAGAAGCATTAGTTCTGTTCACAAAATTTAAAGCATAAATATGATCTACAACTTTATCCGGTAACTAAAATTTAAAAAACAAAAATAAAAAAGAAAGATTTCATCTTTGTACTTGAGCAGCCAAAAGTAAATAATCATGCTTCTCACAATGCTAATATAAATTCATAGACTCCATTTAATCTGCTTTCTCTTTTTTATTCTCTTGGATTATTGGTATGAGGCAATTTTTCTGTTGAGTATTTGCAGATAGAAACTAGAAAAAAACGATAGCATGTGAAACAGAACAGAAAATGTACAACTGACACCAAAAGGAGACTAACTTCCATTTCTTTTCCATGAACAGTATTTGTGTTATGAATGCAAATAAAAAGGAGAGACAAGAAAGAAAACACCAAGAAAACAAGGCACATGTGTTCAAAAAAATTAACGCAACACATGCAGCAGCTTGCTTCCATAATATATGATGCCTAGTGCCAACTAAACAAAATGTTAAATTGTTATGAGTAGATGATATGTGTGAATTGAAGTAATGGCATAAATAAGAAGAATCAGGCAAATTTTACAATTAACCTTATCAAAATCAGTAAGTTGTTTTACAGCCACAGTAATCTCCTCCTGGTTTTTCTCATCCCACTTTTTCTTTCTTTCTTTCTGTCAATGACAAATTAAGGAGGAGAAAAGGGGAAATTAGATCTATTAGCCATTGATAGTGAGTCTAAAGAGCAATTGGAAAAAGTTTAATGCTACCTTCAAACGAGAAGTCAATTTTTCTGTAAATAGCTCATAAACCAGTTTATAACCTACATGCCATTTTCCAGAAGGATTTTTCCATGAAGTGTTGATAACCAAAGTTGCCCCTGTACAATTTTTGCACGAAAGTCTAAGCACAAGCAAGGGCTTAATGTGATTCACATTCTTTGACTATGAAGAAGGAGAAAGAAAAGCAATTGGAAATAAGAAAAGGTTATAGATTTTGCATACAAAGGGAGCACATAAAAATTATAATAAAAAAAAAATGAGAGAGAGAGAGAGGTTAGTAGAAAAAAGAAAGAAATGTTTCATCCTTAACAATATTAATATAAGTTTAGAAGAAGAAAATGATATTTCTCTTCATTGATTGACTTCAATTACATGAGAGAAATATGCAAAGCTAGCTAGAAGATATTCTATCTGCCTTTATTACAAACTAAATATAATGACAAAATAGAGAAAGTAAAAAGAGAATCAAATCAGATTAGATATAAATAATCTGATGAGAATAAAATTAGAACAAATTTGAATAATCTAATTCAAATTTGATAATCTTATTTACCTAAACTACCTACAATACATATTTAAAATAAAATCACACACAACTGATGACATTAAATAATCTAAAAAATAAATAAGGATTATAGGCACTACAGTTCACTAAACTACTGCCACTATTAAAAAATTATACAAAATGATGAAAAAATTAATAAAAATATTATTTATAAAATATAAGTTGAATGATTAAAATAAAGTTATTTATAACCATAAAATACCTATTAAGTTAAAAAGAAAGTTTTATCATACTACAATATAAATTTTTTTATATGATAGTAAATATTGGACTTAAAAAAAAAAAAGTGACAAATATGAAAATGTTAAGCTGAATTAGTGGTCATACAAGAAAAGACAAAATAAAAAATGATTGTATACATAAAAATATCATAGTAAAACCTATAATAAAAAAGATGACTAAAAATTGTTTAAGGTAGTTTAGTGCAAAAAAGATTACAGGAAAGTACTAATAAAGAAAATGGATAACATAACTTTTAATCTGGTAAAAAGAGGTAAAGTTTCACCTAGAAGAAGCTTAAAAAAATTCATTAAAAAATCTATTGATAAATAATATTTTTGAGAATTTAATTTTTGCCCAAACTTAGAAGTATTGTGTGATTTATATAGTTAATCTCACCTAGTAAAATAAGACTAAGTTGTTATTATACAACCACTAACATTAGAGTATTTGAAGTAGGCTTAAACTCATACTTTATAACTCCATTAAGGTTTGACTTCAGATTATCCTGCTTAGTGTTACTACTTTAATTTTATTTTAGCCATCTTCTTTACACTCAATTCAGAAATGAGAAATGGGAAAGCTCACAATTGTCACTTCATTAATCCAATCAAGAATTCAAAACGGATAATAAACAGCTTGCAGACATCACAAGCAATGAGACATGGGCAAGAGCCCTTCTAGCATCAATCCTTGATGTGAAGTGAAGGAAGAAAGCCAAAAGCTCTAGTCCCATCTCTTTCTGTTATGGAATTGGATAGTGACTCATATGAAATAGCAGGGGATTCGATAACAGCCTAAGACAACAGGGTTTACGTACAGGCGCAGCAAAGCCGTATGGATGTAACTTCCATTCCGCTAGTCTGCCCCGTAGTTCAAGCGTGAAAAAAGAAGTGCCACTAACCTAACTTCTTTCGATTTCGAGCATCAGCACCGGATTCAATAGCAATAGCAAGGGATTCTAGCAGCCTTTTGTCCTACCAGCAGCCTATTCTTTCACTTTCAAAGGCAAAGCTCGCATTTTAGGAGTGGAATTCCTAAGTAAAAAACTTTCCTAGAGAAGAAAGAGTGCTGATGATAGACATTGCATAAGTACATACCATCCGGAATCACGAAAGCATAGTGAGAGCAAACTCCATTTAAGGAAGCAAGACCTATTATGCAACTCTAAAGGTAGCTCCTTACTCTCGGGCGAGGGACTGATTTCCTTGCTTTGCTTGCATCCCTTGTTGGAACTAAAAGCAATTAATATTGGATTCGGAAGGTCTTCCACGTCTCTATGTCATCCGGTGATCCATATGCATAGTACAAGCGCTTATCTGTGGCAATCAACGAGTGAAGCCGATTAAAGACCATGGGATAAAGGCTCTAAGTCCTTTTATCTCGCTAGATGGGGCAGGTCTAATTTCCCTCTTCTAAGGTTGAGGCTTGCCCCTCTTCTCTAAGCCCGGAAATGGCGTATCGTATGCCTTTCTCTTATACTAATAGCTCTTATTCCGACAAAGGCAAAGCCCTCTTATTTCAGTCAACTCTGTCCCCTCTTTAAGGCAAGGCAGATCTTTGGACAAAGACTTAAAGAAGATTGGGAGCCGTTGGCATTCCCCTATTTGAGACATTAGGCCTTTTCGTGCAACCTCTTCTAGCAGCATATATTTATATTCCCTAAGAGCAAGAGGGGATTCGAAAAGAGTAAAAAAGGGGCGTAGCGGTAAGACAGAAGAGCCTATTATATTCCTCATTCCTACTCCTAGCTACTAGTAGGTCGCTCACTCTCTTTAGAGTAAATGGTTGACTCTAACACTCGAAATAAAAGAAGAGGAGAGATTCAAACAACCAGTAACCATCGAAGCGAGACCAGAGTCTCCAGGTCACAGTCAACGGTCGAGATACAGAAACAGAGCAACCCACTATCGAACCTATAGACAGGACAGTTGAAGCGAAAGGGGACTTTTTATAAGACTACGGGACTTGGTCAAAGACTAGGAGAGCGAGTCAAGACACTCTCTTCTTCCTCTCCTTATAAAAAGGAGAAAGGCAAAGAAATGAAGCAAGACAAACTGAAGGACAGACAGAGCCAAGCTCAATTCTTTGTTACAGGGTGCCACGCGCTGATAAAAGCACAAGAGGCACAAAGCAGCAAGGATGAGGAAAGGACAAGAACGAGAACATCGAAGCAAAATTAGAATTCTAGTAATATTCAAAAATGACCCTCCATAACATGAGAACCAGTAGGGAGTAAATCCCATAACCTAAAATAAGATACCTTTCCTTTTGGATAACAAAATCCCTTTTCTTTTGCCAATGAGGAAGGCATCTCGGAAGAAGAAGTTGGGAGGAAGAATGCAAGCAAGGGATATCCGTATCCTTTCGCGCAATATGCAGCTCTCTCTGCGCGCTTAGCTTTCTTTTTCAGTTTGCTATCGCGGCCCCTTTAAGACCAAGGGCTCTTTCCAGAGTTTACACTGTAATAAAATCCTTCCGCTGTTCTTCTCCCTGACCCATCGACCAGGAATTCTATAATTTCCTAAGCTTCGGCTTATCTTTTGGATTCTCCCCTAATTGAATATTACGATTAAGCAGCTGGGATAGGAAATTTGTGTCAGTTTAAAGTGAAAGAACGAGCCCTATGACTATTCTTGCAAAAGCCCTTTATACTTTACTTTTTCGACTTCAACATCAAAGATTTATACGTATTCATTTTAATAAACCTCCTAAAATATACTTCAAATTAGCCGAGGATTGTTTATGTGTTTGTAGATCCTCAGATAGAAATTTTTGAAATTCCATCTCTTTCTTATCAGTAAATTCTAAATCAAAGCCTTGTTCTTGTTGGTCGAATTCAAGGCGTTTCTCATTTAAAAAATCATGGAATGCTTCCAGACTTCACCTTCGCCTGCATAGAAATGAAAGGAACTTCACTGAGACCAGGTTAAGGGGAGAAGGTTTCTCATCCTCTTGTTGCCATCTCTCTTGCCGCTGTTCTCTTTGTAATTGAATTCACTGTGGGAATAACTGAAAAAAGCGTTCTTAGAGGTCTCGTATCCGCGGTTGGAGACATATCAGCTCTTAGGTTGAGTTGTTAGAGAATCGGTTTTCTTCAAGAAAGGATTGTTAAGGCTTAGCCTAGACATAAGGGAAGGAACTAAGTAAGATGCTTTGAAAGAAGTCCTTCTTTCTGACTTTCATGGGCCCAGAAGCGTACACAAGGAACTCCGAACCGGAGATCCCACCGAGTAATGTTGCTCCTCTACCATTACCCCTTTCTATTGCTAAGATTGGTTCAGAGTGACGGTAGGAAGTTACTTCATCAAAGAGTTTCCACATCAGCCCGAAACGGGTCAGAAGTGGAAACTCGTTACTCGCTTTCCAGCGAGTAGTAACAACAGGAGCTTGGATAAAATCATGTGGAATTACTTGCAAGTTGCAAATAGTACAATTTTGAAGAATATTTTACCACAATTTAGCACTAACCTGATGCCCCAGAAATACAACCATCATCATCAACCTTCACCACCTTTGAGGTATCAATATCTCCACTGCCAGTGCTGGCCAGAAAAAATGGTGTCACATTTATTGGTAAATCAGTAATACATATATATCAGATAAAAATTCAACATCAATTAGCTTGTATTTACCAATCAAGGATATCAAGAATTTTCGGTTTCCCATCTGAGGTAACTTGTAATCCAGCAGCAGCTGGGTCTACACCAGAATCTAAAAACATGCAGATCTTGTGATTAAACTCATTTATCATATGAACCAGTGCAGGAATATATATTACTTCATAACGTTAACAAATATCAGAAAGCAAGCACAATAGTATTAGTAAAAAAAAAAAGTTTTGAAAGAAGCAAAGTTAGATCAGCACCATGCCAGTAACAGAATTGCATGGTGAAAATTGCATCCATGAAAAGACAATGCTGGGGACCAAGGAAACAAGGGTTGCAAACTTAGTAATGCCTGCATATGTCATGATGTAACAAATCCCATTGTTCAGAAAAGAAAAAAATTTCTAAAGCACTTAATAGCTTATTACTCTAACTAACTGATTTTAAACCAGGCATCAGCTCAACAGGTTAAATTATTTTGAATTCATTGTAATTCTTGGTACTCACCCCATCTGTTCGCATCCATAGCCAACCATGCACTTAAAGAGGAATAAACTGTACTACTTTCTAACAACTACTTCACACTCCAACAAGTTTTTTCTTCAAAAAAAAAAAAGAAAAGAATTGAAAAATCAGAAAAACTTCCTACATTACACTTGTTCAACATAATGTCAAAACGACAGAAAGAGTTTTATTTTCTTTTCCATAGTGCAGCCTTTACAGAAAAAACTAAGTAACAACAAAAGCAACCTTTCAAACATTTTCAAACGAAAACCGATTGTTTATTTTGTGGTCCTTTCAGAAGAATTTTAACACTTACACGTTGACACCAAATAATTACAAGTTCAGATCAAGCACCAGTCCTGTCATGAAACATAACCCATCCAAACCAAATAGAAGATCACCACTTGAATTCAGAGTCCACCCAAGTCAACAAATTTGATCAATAAGCAAAGAAAACAACACACACATTTTTTATCTCCCCTTAAAACCCATTACATCAAGCACAACAACCAAATCTTCTTCAACAATCCCCATTTACCCACTACGCAAATTTGAATAGCAACACCAACCCAAGTTCAATATCAACAAAAACAAAAAAACCAAAAAGGAAGAGCTTTATGAAATGGGCACCAAAGATAGCGATGAGAGCACCGCGACCATCATAGTGTGGGTGAGAATGGAGGAAACGGTCGACACCAATCTCTGCCTTGGGCATGAGTGAAGCCAAAAAGGTGGAGTCGTTCAGCTTCAAGTTGCGGAAAGAGGCACCGTTGTTGTTGTTGTCGTCGTCATAACTGCCACCGCGAGAAGTGCAAGCCATTGTCTTGGGAACAACGTAATTGCTTCTTCTGGGAGTGTGTTTCCTTCTGGTGCTGTTTTTCTTGTTGTTAACGAGTTTTGTCTTTGTGTGATGAAGATTAACGAGAGAATGAGAAGACAATGTTGGAAATCTGAGTAAGAGTGTGTGTTGGTTATGCATAACGTGAATGGTATTTTGGTAATTTCGAGAGAAAGAGTGCCGGCGATGGCGTTATGGCGACAGAGTTTAAGGAATCATCCCATGGGTGGATAAGATGGATAGATGTGATTTTTTTTACATGTTTTTGGAAAATAACATACATTTATCCACGCTTAGATAAGTTTCTGGCACATGTAAATATTGCTTTTTTTATTTTATTTTTTGACATTTTCAAAATTGTCAACGCATGATTTTATAAAAAAAATTTAGGCTAATTTTTTTTTCTTTTTTCTTCCTTACACACTGTTTCTCTTTGTTTCATGATTCTTGGCTTTGGACCATATAGAGCACCAGAAAGAAAAACAGATTCACCTCACATAAACATATGGAAGATAAAGAAACTGTAAGTCAATAAAAAGAAGTGAATTGTAGTTGAAAGAAAAACTATACTAGAGCCAATTAATTTTTTATATTTAGATTGCAATTTATACCAGAATGGTCAAAAGCGTGATACTTTTCTTGAGGCAACAAATCAACATTTTTTCTAATGAGATCTTTTGCACCAGCTAAAACAGAAGAACGTGAAACACCATGCAGATCAGCCTTTCATTATTTTTATTTTCTCACGTGTCACCATTCCTTTCATTATCACATAACGAAAATGTTCTCAATTTATATGTATATGCATTTTATATTTTTTTATAAAAAATATTTAATTTTAATTATTATATTTAATAAATTAATATGATTTTAATTTATCGTCAACAACTAAAAGCACATGCTATTTGTAATTTTAAAAAATTAAAACCGATTTTTTATATAGATTTAAATAAAAAAATTGTAATATTTTTAAATATATTGTTTACTTAAGCCTATATAGGCAAGCTGCAAAAATCCAAAAGACCTAGGTCCGCCCTTCCTATTTTCCTCGGATTATCCCTTGAGGGTCTCCGCCCATATCTACCTATTCACTTTTAATATCATAAGGGCACTTGCTCCTTATGGTTATTGGATCACACCTACTTTCCGTCTGTTTACAAGGGAAATGGGGTTTACAACCAGTGGAAGTGGCCCTGGTTTTTTTCGAAGTAAACAAACGGATCAAAAAAATGAAAATTCCAGCTGAGAAACAGTCAGGCCTTTCATTAAGTTATATACAAACCTAAAAGATCTCTACGAAAGTTGTCTGATATTTGAAATCAAACTACGATAGGTTCTTTTAGCTTTCTCCTTCTTTCCCTCTCCAAATACATCGAAAACATATATTGATGTCCTATTAGTTGCAAACTCTTATTACCATAATTGTGGCTTCCATGAATTTTGTAGCCCAAATTTTTTGGGAAGTGATGCTTTAGGCAGACATTGTAAAAACCTTCTAAGAGATTAGGGATACATGTCTTTGTTGAGGAAATTCTCTAAACGCATCTAAATGAGAGTATATGTTCACTATTTATGAATGTCCATGTGCTAAAGGCAAATTACAACTGTAGAATAACGTAGTTACGTAGATAGCGAGAGCTGAACTCTTAAACTCGCCTTGAGTTGCTATTTCGAGGGGAAACACTAAACTTCTTGGTGCATTTATTTACTTGAAATGCACATGCATTGATGTTATTGAATGATGGTGTGCCCAGTGCCAGGATAAGAAATTGAGAGAGAGGGAGAGAGAGAGAGAATGCATACAGTTGGTGTGCATTTAGACATAAGAGAAAAATAACAAAAGCCATTTTATTTTTATTAAGTAAAAATATTTTGTAATGAATGAAAAATAATTGAAATCATTCAAACCACATTTTCTCTTTCGGTTTCTTTATCCCCTATTCTTTTATCCTATCAAAAAAATTTCTATGTACCTAGTCTTCATCGTGTACTTGTATGGTTTTTTTACGAAAAATCAATCTCAAACCGGTTTTTAGAGAACTCAGACTAAGACCTTCTCTATGAGAAATAGAGAAGCCTGAGGAAAAATGCTCAGTTTAATCTTCCAAGTAACCTGCAACTGCAACATTTCAAATTGAGTTAGACAAAACGCCTTGACAGTCACCAAGACACCCAAGAGGACTATTTCACATTTTTATATAAGGCATTACCTCAGTTTATGGTATAAGATTGTGACATGTTGTATCACATGGATATGCACAGTCTATTTCCTTGCTTCTGTTTCTACTAAAATACCAATCACCAACCGCTTCTGCAATAGTCTGTAAAAGATTGACCAGTTTAATCATGCCCAAAATTCAAAGACCACTTCCTTTTTAAGCGAAGAATCTCAATTTTTGTAAAAGGACGGAACAATCAAACAACAAAATAATATAATATTGACGCATAGTTCAATCTTATATTTTTATCCTTTATATTTTAAGCTCATTTTCCTATTGTCACATATTTTGGGAAGTCAGTTACCTTGTTGCACAATATAAATGTTCGCGTAACAATTTAGTTAAAATTTCACATACTATGAACAAGTTTATCATCATGTGTCGCAGTCAATGAGCAAGGTTGGTACCTTGTTGTTTACTCTCGGAGAATCAGCCCCAAACCATGTTTCTTGCAATTCACTTTGGCAATGAGCAAAACATGAATTTATAAACATTCCCCCTCTTCTTGAATATATAGAGAACGGTCTCAAAGCAGCAAGCATGTCGAGCCTAAAACCTGAATGAAGTGCATTGAGGAAAATCAGTTTTAGTTACAACGTGAAGGATGAGTTCTGAGCATGACTGGAGTAAAGTACATGTTTCTTTGACAAAATACTAACATGTTTACAAACACTGAAAAACTTTTGAGAAGATACAATTGGTGAAAGGTATTAGAAAATATGCCGAGTTGATGGCAGAAATGTTATAGAGGAACCTTGCAATGTATTAATTTGATCTGGTGTGCATGCCGCAGGGTTCAGCTTGCAGTGGTTCCAGTGTCCGCGCACATCAGCAGAGGGTGGCACCAAGATATGATGGAACTGTCGACAATGTCAGTTTTATTCATCTCGCAATTCCTCAATTATGTGGATTAAGATGATATGCAATATAGGATGTTAGGAACAAAATATGTCAAAAAATATTACTTGGAATACATCATAGGCAGAGTTCAAGATAAAATATGGTGTTGATATGTATCCCAACGCATATTGTGGAAAGAAGCACTGCATGGAAACATGAAAAACGTCAAAATGTATAATTTTTCAAAGCTAATGATGCAAGTTCATGGGAAAACATACCAAGTCTGGAAAGTACAGCGCTCTAGTGCAATTTCGATTCAAGTTCTGCTCTATCCCCTGTTGCACAAAACTTTGTCATGCAAGACTCGTTCAATGTTAAGCACTGTCTTTTCCTTGTTACGCCATTAGAAAATTGAACGTCGAGACTATTTTATAAGATACTGAAGTGATGAGTTGCAACTTACAAGTAATGAATAAGTAATAGATCATTATTATTCTGTAATGTTAATATTTATGTGAACATCATGCTTTTCTTTTCATTAAGACTTTTCTTTACATAAACAATAGCTCATCTATCAGCTACCTATAAAATGCGGATACGAACATTTATCTCTGCCTAAGCTCAACAAAAAAATCAATGTGTCATGAAAAGTATCAAAGCTAAATACTGCATACATTGGACTAAGTGACATCAACTACAAAATGGAACCATTCGGCAAGGTATATTTTAAAAACAAAACCTAATAGTGGCGCTGTTTTTTCAATTGCCATAGTAAACTGAAGTAATATGGTAGCTTACTTAATTTTGCATTTTTTATGTAGGATTCCCTATATCATTCCTGTGTTATGATTTTACTGATTATCTCTCTCCTGGGTGGTATACGTATCTTCACAAAGGCTAATTCCAAGTTTCTTTCCGCACAATATGTTGCTTATACTTTTTAATATTTGGTAAAGAAATGTTGTGTTATGTCGACTAGGAAGATGAAAATCGGATATCTTATAGGCCAAATGCACATACCCTTGAGCCATTTAAGTTTATAGTTCTCCTTTTGGGAATACATGAACTCTTGTCAAATGATTAAAGCAATTTTTTAAGGCAAGTACATATATATATGGCGCATTTATTGAAGATTACCTGCAATTGAACTAGACTTTTGACGAAGAACCTCATAGTGTGGTTCAAACTTACATCTCTTCTGCAAGGGGAGGGGGGGACGGGGGCGGTGTTATATTTTGAAGCTGAAGATTATGTTGAGATGACTAAGACTGAACATACCCGTCAAGAAAAAAACCGGCATCACTCAAGCATTTAATACTAGCATTCGTTGGCAAATACTTGGCTAAGCCATCACAGTGGTGAAAGGTCGCTAAGCCTCCTGCAGAGCAGCCTGAAAGCAAAGCCTATAAAATAGAAATAGCAGCATTATAAATTCCGTTTACATCATATAATATAATCGGTTGACTTAAACTGGAAGTCATGTATGTATTCAGTTGAGAGAATAAACGAAAGCAGGTAAAGTATACCTTGCGTGCCTTTCCCAATCCTTTTGGTAAAAGGTCGCGGATAATGGCTTCCCAAATCTTCTGCCCTTTGAAATAAAGTGTTGTTGTCTGATGTTCATCTCACAAACATGGGTCACATTATTCAGTAAACTTTGTTTTATAATGTAAGTAGATATTCATTAATGCTGATGAAAACTAAATTCCGTAAAGATAATTTATTAACCCAATGATAATAATGTTTTCACATTAATTTTCGCTTATGTTTTACTCATACTTATTTCTTTTTTATTTTTCTTCTTTTCTTATCACATTATTCATTATATCTCTATTTTCTTTTTCTTCCTTTTTTTATTTTTCTTCTTTTCTTATCACATTATTCATTATATCTCTATTTTCTTTTTCTTCCTTTTTTTTATGTTTTGTTGATCTATATCCCATCAGTAACTATTTCATTCCCCCAATCATAAAAGATGTAAATATATCATTACTTTCAATCCAATACCCTCCTGCATGATTTTACTGTAATTTTTCTTTAAAAAGATATAATATTTTTATAGCAAAAGTGAAACAACTTTTGTTGCACCTTTTCATTTTTAAGAAGGTTTTTGTTGTGTACATTGAAAAAAAATTTAAAATGTGAAAATAGAAAAATAAATAAACTAAATTAAATTTTATAATTATTTGTGAAAAACAAACATTTTTCAAGTCAATCATACCAACATTTGTACTGTATGATTCAAAAATAATAATAATAAAGAAAATAACTCTGAGGCTCATAAAAATATTTTTTTCTTCTTGAGAAAAAATGAGAGAAGAAAAGTAATATGAAAATGAAAAATCGTACACTCACAAAATGTCACAATAAAAAAACTATACACACGTAAAAATAAAAGAATTTTACTTAATTAATGGTTATGTTAATAATAAGAATAGTCAGCAACCACTTGGTTATTTTCTGTGGTCTGTCGACTATCATATATATGGAAATTTTTTGTTTTATTTTTAAATAATTTAATAATTTTTCTCATAAATTGAATAGGTATTATTAAAATAATTTTAATTTTTAATAAATAATTAAAATTTTATAATATGACTATTTTTAAATTTTATAAATTTTAAAAAATAAATATCATAACTATTAGTAAAAAATAAAAATTAATTGTTAAAATTAAAATTCTAAATTTACTTTAAATTTTAAAATAAATACATAAATTTAAAAAAAAAACTTGCATAGTGAAAAAAACTAGTTTCTAAAAACATTTTTGTTTGAGAATAATTTTAAAAATAATCTCATTTAATAAATCTCATAAAAATGCTTTCATGTAAGAATTGTCATTTATAAATTATATGATTTAAAAACTTAATTATATTTATTAATATAAAAATATTATAATTAGGATTTCGTAATTTTTAATAGTTGTTTTAAATAAACCAGATGATAGGAACCTACAAAATTTATAATCATTTTTTATATTTTAGTATTCAATAACTTATAATTTTTAATATACAAAAAGTAATTGAAACCTTCGTTTTATGTTTGTAAAAGAACAAATCATATTAAATAATTAATTTGCATTTCCTATGTTTTATTCGTTAATAATCTTTTTCTAAAGTGATAAAAAATTATTAAAAAAATCTCATGGACATATAACCGCAAGAACTCATTTATCCTTCTTTAAAAAAATTTAAAAAAAAAAAAAAAAAAACTGTTTGGGGAGAGACCTTGTGAAAATTACCTTGTTACTGAACACAGCGTCTCCAGTAAATGAAGCTCCATCGCAATATCTCAGCTTCACACGGTTCCAATTGTAAAAGTCTGACAGTGCATTTTCGAACAAACTCAAAATTTTAATAATAAAAAAACCATAACACATTAAAAGAGATAAAGTCTATGAAATAAATAAGGTTAAAAGAAAAACTTCCTTTTATTGGTAATTTGACAAAAAGTTCCTACATTTGCTTGGATTTTAGTATAACACTAGATATTTCAAAAGTAGATAATTTAAATTAAATTTTACTAAAAAAGTACAGGACTAAAGTGTTATTAAATAACTTTGAAAGGTACGTGAGAGTATAAAGTCTATGGATTTCTTTCACATGAATCTGCTAGCTCTAGGTTTCGTTGATTAGCCAACTGACTTCTTTTTTCACGTTTTGTTTTAATATGTCTGCATATTTAATATTTCTTTTTCTTTTTCATTCTACAAAGTGAGAGAATGTAGTTTTCTGTTCATGCATGAAGAGGAATTAATAAGACATGGGTCACGGATCAAAGCACAATAATTATTATTAGTTCACATCTATGATGCTCATATCACCCCAGACAATTTAGATTATAATTTAGGAACATGGTATGTCCATCGACTGTTGAACTGAAGATGATGATTAGATCGAGAGGTGATGCAGGATGAAGAAAAAGAAAACAGAAAGATAAGTGTTATTTTATATATAAAAAAAGTTATATTTTTGTTACAGTTTAAAGAAAGGTAAAAGAAACAAGTTGAAAAAAAGTAAGTGATCAAACTAGTAATGTGATTTAAAGTGATAAAAAAGAAGTTATTATGAAAAATTATTGCAGTAATGCGTTGCAGAAATAATATAAATCAAACAAAAATGAATAACATATATGTGTAATGATGAGTTTTTATTCCCAAAATAATCACAACAAACAAAGGGGAGTTTAGAGTTATGGTTATGAAACGGGAATGGCAATTTTGTCATCTGACAGTCATGGACCAAAATGACAACTGAAGCATACATGATCGGAATGCTTTATGTAGAAGAGAGCGTAATAGTAGCTCAAATTGGAAAATGGAAGATAAAAAAAACAAGATACTATTATCTAAGAGACAAGAGTCCGTGGAAGGGAATCTATAGGAACATGACCCTGTCGGGGAGCTTGACTGTACACAACTGGATTGCCTATTTGTCAGAGAACTATAGATTGTAAACCCAAAAGACAGCTTTGTTTCAAGGACCAGTAGAAAAAGCTAGGTTCCCGTCGCCTAAATACCTACTATCATGTTATCAATTAGAAAAATGCTTGCAGAACTTATATTTAATGTCTATATCACATTATCCCGAGGCAGTGAGGAGGAAATTCAAAATTTTAAGGAAGTAATAGCACTTATTTTTACGGTGGTTGCATCCCCTCAAGCCGAGGGATTTAAGTAGTTTAATCTTTGGATCAAAGAAAAGTAAATAAAGAAAGAAAAAATATAATTTGAATTAAAAGAAAAATAAAGAGAGAGATTTGAGTTTTTATTTCTAAAAAAATAGTTTTTTTTTTATTTTTTACTTTACTTAAAAAATACATCGTACTTTTCTTTTTTATCCGAGACTAAAGATTCATTTGAAGATATATATATATATATATATATATATATATAAAATGTCAATCTTTAATACTTACTCTTTTAATAATTTTTTATAAAATACAAGACTAAAAAGAAAAAAGTAATTCTAATGAAAATTTATTCGTAAAAAAATTGTAAAAAATCTATTTTTATAATGTCCCCTGAAATCGTTAATCATTATGTTAATTCTAAATTGTCAAGTGTATGGAGAAGTTTTCACTTGAATAATTATGTATTCATTTATTAAATTTTTTAAATAGGAGAGAAAAAATTGAAACTTTACCAATAACATGCAAGGAGTTATATTCAAATATAATAAATGAGCATCAACACTTATGCATAAAATTAAAATATTAAAAAATTAATCTGTTGATATATTTCTCTTTAAAGAATAATATATATTTTTCTTTTAATTTGAACTTTTAATTAATTATGTATGTGTTTTTGTAATCAATTTTTTCTTTAACATATCTTTTTCAATATTCTACGCACATTATATATATATATATATATATATATATATATATATATTCTATCCTTTTAAAAAATTTTAAAGTATTTTTAATTTATACTTTAAATTTTTATTTAATACTTATTAATAATCATTGAAAATGTAAAACTGTTTATGTAATACAAATTAGGGTTTAAAATCAGAACAAAAACATATTTTCCATTTTATTGTCATTTTGATGGAAAAAAAATTTAGCCAAACCAAACAATGAACATAAAACTAATAAATAAATACCCGACAATATTTGGTAAAAGGCGTTGTCAGTCTCTACCTAAAGATATACCGTGTTCATAGTTTATTGCGGTCTTTTTATATGAAATAATTTATTCTATCCATAAGAAATAATCATATATATATATATATATACACACATATATATATATTATTTATTATAAAATTTAAATAAATAAAATATTCACTTATTATTTATACAGAAGAATATATTCATTTATTTAATATATATAAATTATTAATTTGATCATTTATTATTATAAATGTTTTTAAAATAAATATAAACTTACAATATATAAATACTTCTGCCTGATTCTTAAAAAAATCATTAATCTATTTTTATTAAAAAATAAACCCAATATTTACTTTTTTTCATTTAGTTGCCATGAATACCTAATCGCACATGATTGTTCCGTTAGATAATATGTGTCTAATGCATCTACCGGCTCTTGCTACTGGGCTTTTGATGGAGTGGATGAGTGGATGGCATGGCATGCGATTCTATTCATTTCCCTCAATTTTCTCGCGTCTCGGGGGCCTCGGTGGAGCACAGTGGAACCCAAATAGATGTGTAACGCGAAGTAGTTCAAGAAGTTACCGCAAAAGCTATAGTGATTATTAATTACTATCCATTCTATCCTTTCAAGGACATATATATTTTGTTATTCACGCATTAGAAAAAAATTCATAAAAGAAATATTTTTCATTGTTTTTTTATTGAAAAATTGGCCTACTAGTTATTTATATATTCTATTAAAGCAAAGGAGGGACCTTTCAAATTAAAGTTATAATGATTGCCAAATGAAAGAAGAAAAAAATTAGAAAGAAAGCAAGAGTTGATTTACCTGGATTGAGGGTGGCATTGTTGCTTAAGATACCAGAGAAAACCTCCCACTTTGTCATATAACGTGTTGAGCCCCTTCGAGTTCGGGCTCTCCCCAAGCATGATGTCAAGTCATTGCACCACCCACCTCCCTGGCATGTACCATAAATTGGTTATTATCATTAATGATTTGTGCATGCAGAAGCAAAGGGGTTTCTTCAATTGGGATTTAGGCTCCACCAAGTTAAATGAACTAACTAGCTGCTGTGCTATCCACTTTGTCATTTCATTCAATCATTTCAGATTTTCCATGGCTTTGCTTGGGTTCAAAGTTCATATGAAACTTAATTTATCCTCCGACATGACATGACACTTTATATGGGTCATCAAAATCGCTCTCTTTAACCCTACGCTTCCGAAGACACTGCTTATGAAAGTGTGGACTGTCGAATGTTGCCTGTGGTCACGCTTATTTAAGTACAAGACTCTTAATTTGACTGTGTTTAGGCAAGTAATATTATTTGTACGATAGGAAGAGTTTGTCCAGACTAAAAATGAAAAGTTTTAAGAATTTTTTTAAAATAGGTGAGATTAAGGTAATTTTAAACCTTAAGATTTTCCATCACAAGGTTCCTAGCACTCGAAGTTTAGAAGAGGAGAAGTGATATATGGATTATAATTCGAATTATTTGAAGACATTTAGCCTGTTGGAAAACTTCCATAATCAGCAATCTAAGAATGTCAAATTAATGTAGGAAAGCGTGCACATAATTTCATCACCGGTAATTTTTATCGTATAATGATTTTAGCTTTACAAAACAGGAAAATTAACAAGCTTTAAGAGAATCGGGTATCTCTCTCCTTCTGTTTTTAAGGAAATGATGAGTGTACTCCAACCCATGCATGCGGCAGGTGGACGGTAGTAAACCAAAAAAGATTACACCATGTATGTGGATCGTGGGATATATTTTGAACGAGAAAGCATCGTATGTCACTTTTTGCAGGTTTTGTTTTTTCTTCAATTTTTATATTTAACTTCACCCTGATTAATGTAACAACTAAAACCCAAATTATTGGATATCATTTTAAAATTACTGATTGAAGTACAGTTCAATTTAAAAAATAATTATTTGATTTCTTTATTACTAATTTATCAACGCTAACTTAAAGGCTAAAATGGGGGCAAACTACACATTGAATAAAGAAGACTTTATTAATCAATATCTTTGTTGCGTAAATATAATATCATCGTATTATTTCATTTTTTTAAAAATGAAATAAGAAAACATTAACTAAAAGTAACTATATTCAATCTTAAAATTGTGTATACATATGTGACACATGTAAATGTCCGTGAAAAAAAAAAGGAATCAAACTATATCGGTTTATGTTAAAATCATTCTCATATTACTTAGTTAGTTAAAATCGCATATGGTAGATGGCTTTTAAAAATAAAGTTAAAAACATGATTAGTTCAATCTAAGTTCAAGAGAATAAATTAAAAAATATATATAACCAAACAATTTAAAATATTAGAGGATAAATAATACGGATTTGGGAGGAAAACTTAATTTTTTTCTTAATAACAATTAACATTGAGATTTAAAAATTTACCGTGAAAAGAAATCTTAACACAAAAAGCTAGATTAAAAAATAATTAATAATTTAACATTTTTAGGTAATATTTTATAAAAATATAAATATTTATTAAAAAACAATGAAATTACATGTCAAAAGAATAAAAAATACAACAAAAAGTCATTGCATTCAAAAATAATTAATTAAATTTATAGTAAAAATTAAATTCATAAAATATAACTTTGTATTAAAATTTTTCTTATAAAAATCATTCATAAAATTATATATTCATTTAAAATCATTTGTCTCTTTTATTATTATATGAAAATTAACATAATATATATTTTTAAAATATACAAAAATAAAATTATTTCATTATATTTAAAAAAAATTATATAATAAATAATTATAACTTAACATTTAAATGTATAATAATTATTTTATATATAAGATTAATGAATATTCTAGAGACAAACTTATAAAATTATAATTGAGTGACGTGTACCAAATGAAAAATTCAATTTCCCAATAAAGAATAAGCACGTCAGCATAGATTGCGTCCTCGACACTGGGTAGCAAAAGAGCAGATTCCAGTTCCCCAAAGCAGTACGCGCGCAAAACTCTAGGTGGACGACAAAAAAACACTGTCGTATGACATTTCGAAACTAACCAATCATCACACTTCCTCCCCAAAACCAGAAAAACACCGCCACCACTTTTTCAAACGCTACTACTCGTGCAAAACAACACTGTATACTCTCTCTCTTTTTACATGCCATTTTCCTTTATGATAACACTTCCAAAACACAAAGCTAACAACTCATAAATAAGATATATCACACATATATTTTTTATTTTTTTTTCCATTCACATGCCTATCCTTTAACTAAAATTTTCGATTTCTGTTTAAAGGAAAAGAAGAGAGAGAGAGAGAAAGTTCAATGTACCTCAAACTGTAGAAGCCAGTTATTTTCGCCAGCTCCAAATCCTCTGTCCAAATGATACGCCGGTAAACTACCGTCCAAACAAACTACAAAATTTCCGACTCTTCAAATTTTAATAAATAAATATTGTACAAAATAATTAACGATTCATCAAACGAAGAAAAATAAATAAATAACAATAATAACTCACAAGCACCGCTAGCACGAGCCTTCGGAACCAGCGTCATGTTCACCAGAAGCCTCTCTTCCGAGCGAACCAGCGTGGTTAGATAGAAAAATGCGAAGGCCACGAAGACGTTCATCTTGGAAGATAAGAAAGGAATCATGTTTTTTCTTGGATTCGAATTCGGAAAAAGAGAAGTGACAAAGCGAGATCTAAAAATAAGCGCGCGCTAACTGCTCTGTTGTTTTTCTCTTTGTCTGGACTTGGTTTTGCAGGAAGGAGAGGAATAAAAAAGGAAAATCACAATGGATTTAGATTTGCATGATAAAATGATGGAGCTACTAAGGGTATATAATTTGGAATGAAGCAGGATTGAAAATCCACGTAAGTGAAATCGACGCCTCATTGATTGCTTAAGCGGAAAGGATAAAGATTAATTAGCGTCGCCATCACTATAATAATAATAATAATAATAAGAGCTAGAGATGGAAAAGGGAACCGTGAAAGGAATGAAGCCCAATAATCTGTGCTTGTTTAAGAAGCTTGACGAAACGGCGTCGTTAGGATGGGAGGTTTGCGTTTTGGTGAGAGTTGTTTGGGTGATGAAAACAGGGGAGGGGAAGGGGTTGGAGATTGAGACGAGTTGGACGTGAAGTGAATTAAGGTGCGCGTTGTCGTATTGAAAGGGAGGGAATTAATATTGGGAAATAGATGAGAAAGAAGGAAATGGACGGAAGCTTTGGGGTTCAAGAGTGTGGATTGGACCCACCACGTAACAGAATATGGACCAAGATGGCAACCAACCAAACCATGTTGCTACCGTGGGGTTTGGTTTTTGCTTTTGGTGTTGTTGAATCTTCAAGCTATGGTTATCTTTCTGCTGCTTTCTTTTCCTGTGATAATCTAGTGCAGCAGGTAACTGAAATTTTTCTCTCTCCACACATCTTTTTACTTTAACATAATTCAATAATTAATTTTTTAAGATACTGGTTAAGAAGATCTATGTTTCAATTATACCATCTTTGATTGGTCATTGTAGAAGTAGTTTACAACTCAAACAAACAAGTTTTAGCTATTATGGCAAGTGTTTCTATGTTCTAAAAAATTAGTTTTACAAATAGTTGCCACATGACTTAGAGGAGGATGTCTTCGACAAATGTGAATGGAAGTTTTGGAATATAGCGTGAGTGATGAAATTGTGAGTGGGGATTTCAGGTAATTAACCACTTTATCTGAGGTTGTGATGGTCTTCGATGAGATGAGGTTGGGAAAGGAAAGGAATATGTGTATTTGGTAGTCTGGGAATCTAATAATGGTAGGTCCATTTTGTTGGCCAACTTGTGCTGTGCGTAACTGACTCGGTGACTGTTGAGTTGAGAGCGGGATTAGATCAGGATCAAGCATGAAATTTAATAATATTTTGATTATAGATATTAGATAGAGATAGTCATTAGTGAGGATTATTTTTTTTCCCCTTCTTCCTCACAAATGATTATAGATTTTGACTACGAGCAACGAGTTCTCTTGTATAACTAAATAAATGAGTTTGGGACAAAATTACGACAGGTAATGTCAACATTATTCTCTAAATAAAATCAATGTTTTGTCTCAATAATCGCTATTTCGTGGAATACTATTTGAGTAATTGCCATTAATTTTAGTTATTGGCATGAAAATAATAATGATTGGAATAAATTTTTAGTTTTAATTATAAATAGCACTTACACTAATCTTGTTCTTGTCATTATCATTATTATTATGTTATTTTATATGAATTATGTATTTTATGCATGAAAATGTAAAAATTAAATTAATTTGTGATATAATTGATAATTAATTATTGTAATGATAAAAAAAAATATAAATATATAGATATTTAAAATTTTCAAAATCCCAAAAATCATTTTAATTAAAAGAATTTATAAACATTCTAATGTATTCGATGTTGACTGTAAAAAGGAAGCATTAATTGATAAAAATATGAATAAATTGAACTATAAATAACTATTTATTTTATTTATAAATAATAAATTTTGGTTTGACTTTACTTGAATGTCATTGAATTTTTTAAATATTTTATTATATTTAATATTGATTAAAAAAATTTGAACAAAATTATAGACAGTGAAGATATTCTGCATTTAAGTAACTATAGTTTAAAAATGTAATTTTTCTTAACAAAAAATAACGATTTTATGATAAGTGTGCTTGTGGTATGAATAGCCATTTTTTACTTCGATTACCATCCTTTCAAGCAGTACTATATTACAATTTACTTTAAGCCTAAATTTATATTGAGTTAATCTTAAATATTACTTGTTCATTTTTCAAAAACATTGGCCCACGTCCATAACTTACCACAGACTCCAACTATGCGAACATATGTAAGACAGCGAACCCATGCCATAAGAGTATAATCTACTTAGATTTTTTTTTTTTTTATCCTCTAAATATAAATATTTTTTATCCCCTAAAGGTATCATCATTTAATTCGTTCAGTTACAAAAATATAAATAATTATTCAATGTTAATTTTAATCAAATTAATTGTTCAATCCCATATTTTCTTAATCAAATCCAAAAGTAAATATTATTATCTATATCTATTTACCTATTTGATTTATCTCTACCTATAGTAAAATAGCTTATATTTGATAAAAGATTTTCACAACTATTGAAGTTGATTTTATGTTACGTCATTGCGAATATTAACCATTTTCCTATAAAATGATACCATTTTACCAATTATGTATAAATACGAAAACGAGTCATAAGTTCATTAATTGCCCGACCAAATAAATATTGATAATAAAGACGATAGAACTAAAAGAACGTTTTTAAATTAAGTTTTTTTTAAGCCTTATTTAAGAGTTTGGAATTTTTTTAAATAATTAAAATTTCACGAAAGGAAAGGAAATGCACGAGATAGTAAATGTTTTTTTTTATTATTATTATAGCTTACATTTTTTATTTAAAAAAAAACCTTAAATATGTCTTACTAAAGAAATAAAGAGAAAGAGAAAAAAGATTTTGAGAAATCAAATTTCATATTCACAATTTATATCTCGTGGTCGTGGTTAAATAATTAAACTAATTTCAGATGATTTTTTTATGCTTTTGATATAATTTTTGTTAAATGATACATAAATCGATGGCTAAAATGTAATTTTTTTAATGTAACAAAAAAAATGAATGGAATTAATCGAAGATCATCAACCTAATGAAATTTTTATTAACGTTAATCGTTATTTAAAGTTCGTGAATCACAAGCATAACTTATACCACCAACTCCATCTATATGAAAAGCTGTGTTAATGCAAGAAACACGGATGAGTTGGGAAGCACATGACATATGAACACAATCTACACAAAACAAATAATTTTTTTTATCCTCTATCAATACAAATAATGTTTATCCACTAAACTTGCTTTCATCTAAATCTTTCAACAATAAATATATCAAATAAACCAGTTATTTAAAATCAGTTTTTAATCATATTTTTTTACACTCCTAGATATTTCTATATACATTAGACATTAGAACATTTTAATTTTTAAATACAGATAAATAAGATTGTTATGAATGGTATGATTCTTTCATTCACTTTTTAACACGAATCTCCATGAAAAAAATGTTATCAACGTATTATTTTAAAAATATTTTCTAACATTATTTTTAATTAGTTGATTTAAAAAGTTAAAGAAATTAAAAATAATCAGAAGAGAAGTATTTTATTTCTTTAATAAATGAATCAGTGACCCGGGACTACTTATTATCAATTTTAAGATATATGAAAATTATGAAGTAAAAAAAAAAAGGACCAAACGTTAGCACGTGATTCGGAAAACAGTTTCAAAAGGACATTAATATTATTCATGTAAATTAAATTCAACTAAACCCGTATTTAAATTAAAAAGATTAAACAAGGACTCACCCAATTTTAAGCTGGCACATTATAGATTTCTCGTGTTCTATATTTAAAATCTCTTACCTGAACAGAACAAGCATGCTCGCAGGAACGATGAATACATGGAAACAAAAGCTCAGCAAAACTCAATTTTGGTTGTAGAAGGAAAATGGAAAAGAGATAAAATAAATAATTTTATATTTATTTGGCTAAAGAGAAAAGAAGAAATCAATTTTTTTTTCTTTTCTGATTTGATCTAATGGGAAATTTAAAAGATTATATAAAAATGTTTAAAATATCTTTAATTTATAATTTCACTTAATAAATAAAAGATAAATATTTTGATCCTCACAGTGAACTTTTTCCCTGTAAAAAAAATCGATACAACTTACTATTTTTTATCCATATTTTTTTGGGGACGAAGATGACAAAGACTCTTTTTCTTTTTCTTTTTTTTCTTTTCTTTTTTGTTATGTTAGTTTATAAACCCTTATAATTGTGTCTATTTTATGAAGTTCCTTTAATTTCAAAACTCATGACAAAGTTCTTATTAGTTTAAAAATTAACACCCTTAAAACTTTAGTAAATGTTGCTAAGATGATATTTTATACATGACAATTTTTTACATCTATGTGAACTGCATAGAGTAATTCCTCAACAGCAAGATGATGATGGTCACTGCAAATTCTGACAGCCAATAACAATGAAACAAGGTGACCTGGTTATTAATGCTGGTGCAAGGACTTCCTTAAAAGCACTTTTATTTTGTCCAGCTCAATTTTAACTTATTGCTTGTCTTACCAAGAAAAACTTTCTCAATAGAATCGGTGGAAGCATAATTGCCTCCATGTTATTTTTAGGTGGGTAGTAAATTTTCAAAAATTTTATCCTGTGTACAAGACTCAAGTTAGAAACCAGTAACACAAAATATAATAAATTTAATTTGTTATTTTATTGTACATCAAGTTTAAACAAAATATTACTATTCTCTTATTCTATTATATTAATATTCAACTCTCCTTTTCTATCTTATTGTATTTATTAATTGGGCTCTTTTATATTTTTATAATTTTCAATCAGCCCAATCAGGGCCTTTTTATTTTATTTTTGCTGCCTTTTGTTGGGTTGGGCTACACAAATTAGAGTTGATTGACTCAGTTGAACGAGTTGCTCTGTTTTGTTTCTACTATAGATTTTTATTTTGCCATTTTAAAATTAACAATATTGGGTCATGAGCCACCCATCAGTTAATTAGCCTAGTTCTTTTAGTTTACATCAAATGCCTTGATAATTTCAAGTGATTAATCATTTAATTCAATTAA